AATTCTGAAAAATAATTTGATTGCGTTATAAGTTCTTGTTTATATATTTACGTAAAACTTAGTGTACGCCTGTTTCCGATTAATCGCACTAAATACCCTCAACCAACGGTTTAATTGATTTTACAGCAGATGACAGTTAACCATGACATGACGTTCGTTGACTTCAATAAGTACTACCAACCGAAGAACGCGCATTATTCTCTTATTGGTATTATAACCCCTTCTCTCCAGCGGAAACTAAAAAACACCGCGATGCGGGAAAGTCGTTTTCCCGTGCATCGAGGATGCTTGGAAACATTATCTTTCCATTCAATGAGTACAAAAAACTTTTTCCCGTGCGCTACGAATAATCAAGTTTGCCATAGCTATCCCTATCCCATGCGTTGCCATGCATACCGCGGATTGACTTTGACATATATGTCAACCGATTTTTTACCATTGTGTTAAAAATGGATTTTGGTGAAGTCGAAATTCCCGCTAATATATTAAGGGAGGCTGCAGAAACCAGTTCCCAACTATTACCAGCGAAATCAAAAGAGAGATGCGAAAAGGAATATGAAAAATTTCATAACTGGTGCATTGAAGAAATCGTGAAAAGAGTACGTTATGGAGTAGGTTTTGAATGATTAAGAACATTCTTACGGTAAAAGAAAATGAAAACGCTAGCAAATTGTGTAAAACCGACTTTTTGAAGCGTCAGACCGTCCGCTACATCCCAAAAAAATCAAAAGTTCTGTATAACAAGGGAGCAATTTTTGAATGAAGCTGCAGAGATAAAATGGTGATTACTTACTAAGGTTATTTTAGTCTGTGTCATCGGTAAAGGGAACACTCAACACTGTGATGTAGCCCTCATCATTTAATCTTCGACATTTTGGCTTTCGATCCTTTTCGGGATCTTCTCAGATTCTACTTTAGCCCCGGATATCTAGGCGTGTGCCCTTACGGTCTTCGTTTCGAAGAATTAAAATTCCGCCCCCCCTCACTGGAGCTGCTCTCGCTAGCTCTGACATCAAGCAGTCCACCGATACCTGGTTTGCGCATGCGATTAGCAGCGCTCTCTCTCGTGGCGACATTCCGTAAATTGGGGAAAACTGTCTCAATGAACACCGAGCTTGATTTCTCCATTAAATTGACGCACGTCATTTTAATTTCTTCCGGTAACCTAAAATGCATGAATTTCGTTCCTGGACATTTTTTCTTGTGCAGATTTTCTAATGGTTTGAGCATTCCCACTTATCTAAACAGCAGACCAAAAGTTATCGATTGCCAAGTCCCGATTAAGAAGTTACCCTCCATTCTCGAATTAACAGTGTACTGTACGTCGGACGAACAGACAGAAATACAGAATATATGATTTCATAAACAGAAACAAGCTTTTTAGCCTAAGAGCTAGCTTAAATAATTTCTTTTACAATTTGCTTTGAATTCAAGTTGTAAGTTACCTACAGCCTAAACATAGAATCAGTAATTTCCCATTCAGAAGGGGACAATGATAAATAATTACGGTCATTGTCGGAGGACACTGATACTGAGAGAAACAGGAAAATCCCTTTCGCTACATAATTATAAAAGTGCGGCTCTCATGATTTGAATGGGCGGGAAAAACAAACTATTGTAAATTTTTTAATTTAAACAAACATTAAACGAATTGATTCATTCATTATGTATGCAGATTATTGCAGCTAAGGTCCAGCCACAAGCGTTAATTAATAACACATACATTTTTTATTTTTAAGTCCAAAATGTTTCATTTGTACCTAAGTCCAAAAATTTGAGTTTTTCCTTTAATTTCTTTCTCAATAACCATAAGATAGAAAGATGGAATAATAATAATAATAATAATATATTGCTTTATTGAGTTTAGCACATTTTTTTTGCGGTGTGGTACATTAGATAAATATTAATGCTCCTTTGGCTATTGTGGATGTGTACACACGTGCTTGAAATTTGCTACTGTGCTATTCTCAAAGGCGAAGTTCGGTAAAGAGCAATTGCTCTTCTCCGCTCTACCACTTAACCTCAAATATGTCTGCGCAAGGAACTATATGCGATGGAAAAGAAATATACATGTAATCATCAAATATCGAGATAATAAGCGACCCATGTTCAGACCCCTTCTTACATACACATTCTTGGGACTTGTCAACACTCGAGCATTAGTGATCGTATTCGATTTTTGAAGTGTTTACTAGAAAGATGTTTCATTTCGGGCAGGAGGCTATTATAGAGTACAACAATGTTATACGAAAATGTTCTAAGATACAATTTCTTAGATTTGTATTTGAAGAGCGGCATTGATAATAGCCCCTTACCACGAATATTAACATTGTGAACGTCAGTACGGTATCGGATCTTTCTATTTAGGTATTTTGGAAGACCAGTGATGATTAACGAGTGGTACATACATAGGGAGTGTAGTTTCCGCCTCTGTGTCATATTTAACCACAACAATTCTTTTAATTTATTAGAGACATGGCTGCGACGACGAAGACCTAAGATAAATCTTACACAATCATTCTGTACCGTTTGTATACGTCTGGTACTGTTTACATACTTTTTTAAGTACTTAAGTTCTTTCTGATTTTATAATTTGTTTACAAAATTCCTTTTCCCCTAAACGATAGTGTAAAAAATTACATTCCCAACGAAATGTAAGGTATGTATGTGTCTGGGTTTTTTAACATTACACATTACACTAACGAATTCAAAACTTTTAAAAATTCGAACTGCAATATTTTTGTCCGAGGAACGAAAATGGTCAGAAATCCATAAAATGTGCAGGGTACATAGTCCAGTAAATGCGTGTTTAAAACTGCCGTTTTCGGAACAAAATGGCGGAAGTTTTTTTATCAAGGGTTTTATATGTTATTGAATGTGCTGCATCCGAATTTATTGTATGCTGCCTTGTAGGAAGTCGGCTTCATACCGAAATACGCAAAAAAATAATTTTTCGGTACTTTTTTTAGTTTTTCGCTTATATCTCAGAAACATTTAAGGATTTAAAAACAAAATTGTCGAAAAATTGCATATCACTTTTCTTTAAACAAAAACTACTTATGCTACTTTATCTTCGAAGTCTCTAAATGTATTCAAATATGTATTGGCCTTGGCTAAAAAGGGTCGCTGGTCGCATATGGCGCAAGGATGAAGAAGGAATATTTATTAATGACTAACTTTTGTGTTACGCCACTGGCCCACAATAAAAAGAACTGTGCTAGCTCAAATATTCATGATTCCTGGCTGGCAACTCTCCGTTTTCCCATAAGTGTTTCTGAGAGATATTAGTTTTAGGGTTAGAGATAATCCTCGTTAACGTTATGTATGTGAGTCCCTGTTTAGCGTATAAGTACCTTATTGTCCTTATTGATTTATATTCTCAGACGTAAGTTAATTCGGTCTCGAAAAAACAGCCGCCTGTCACCCCAACTTGAAGGTTTATGATTCTATTTATACATATGTGACCATGTGCACCGAGCCATGTGGGCACATAAAAAAGGGGTTTTCTCCGATATCAATACGAAGGTATTCTGATAAAAGGATGAGAAAATTTGGGAAAATGGCCAAAGTCACTTTTTAAACAAGCAGGTAACGCAAGGAGTTTTGATCAAATTATTATGAACATTCTGGGAATTTCGTTCGTATAAATTGAACAAATTTTACGTCCTTTAAATAATACAATTAGACACATAAGAAGATAATAGATAATAATATGATGGAATTTTGGAAGACGGGGAAAATTGAAAATTGTGAAAGTAAATTTGTAAGGAATACGAAAAAAATGGTGGTCAATTTTTGTAAAATAAAAAGTTCTAATAAAATCGGATTACTCATTTTGTATAATAATATGGGAAAGTTTAAGTTAATACAAAAAGGGGGACATAGGAGGGAACTTTTCGGAATGAAAGAATTCTCCTCAACATGAAGAAACTTTGAGGAAATCCGTACGAATCAGTACGAAGATAAAAAATAAAAATTCACATAAAAAAGCCACCAATGGATGGCGATTACTGTATAAATAAACCACGTTCTAAACATGTTTGCCAATGCTTTAAGCAAAAAAAATATTAAAAACTTTCAGAACCAAATTTAAACTGTCTGCTGTTATTTTGGATCACCCGACACATTCCAAATTTCATCAAAAACGGTTTAGGCGTTTTTGAGATATCGGTAGCGAGACGTTTCGGCGGGTGAAGCGTCTCGGCGTTCCGGCCGTTACTTATCGACGGAGGAACGTTTCGGCGGGCGGATGTTTCGGCGGAGCACGATTCGGCTAATTAAACATATTTTATATTATATTATTCTAGTTTCCCGAATTGAAAAATAATAAATAAGGGCATTAGCACACGCAGAATTTTTCAAGCTACAAGAAACCTATGTACAACTTGGATCTAAATTAATTAGGGGAGAAAATATTTCGATATAAAGAAATTAGCATTGAAATCTCTATGGTGCGTTATCCGTTTCTACACCCTGTATAGTGTATAATCTGCTGAATCGCGCCCCGCCGAGACGTCCCTCCGCCGATTAGTACGGCAGTTGAAAGGTCCCTAGGTCGAGCCGTCTCCTCCGCGAAAACGTGACGATCGAAGAAACGTCCCACCGCCGAGACGCCTCGGAGCAGAAACGCGCTTCGCCGAAACGTCCATGCATTAATGGCTTACGTGCATGAAACAAGGTATATATGTTACCGGCAAACTGCGAAATCCGGCATTTGGCAAAATCCCTAGGTATTTTGCGAAATGACCAATGCAGCCAGCAGCAGCCAAAGTGAGAAATGGAACTCGACTTCGCACTTCGCCTGCCTCTCTATAGGGATTTCGCGAAATGCCTAAACCTATACACAATGATGCAAATGATATGTTTACAATGTTCGCACCTTATCGTATTCGCACTTCCTACCTTACAACCCTCGGCGCAAGCGCCTCGGGATGTAATCGTGGTGCTCAGAGAATAATACTAGACTTCTCTACCTTGGTATATAATATACTATTATTTTAAGGTCGTAAAAACATAAACTGCCTTAAAAAATTGAAGATCGCAATTTAGCTACGTCAATACACAGGTGTTTAACCTTTTTCATGGTAACCTATATGATGTTGCAGATGTAATGACCGAAATAAAGAAAAAAAACACCTTTCGGTTTTTTAAATTAATCTCTAACAAGGACATTCGATTGGAATCAAAATTATAGACAATCCCAACAAAAAGTTAAGGTCTTACGATAGTCACCGAAAGGCGATAAATTGCTCTTTATTGCGAGCTTTATTGGGCATCAATGCAATGCGTTTGGGCGTTGAGTGAAGAAATCCAGATAGAGGCGCAACGCCTATACTAGAAATCGTCGCGAACGTAGGATCTGAGATTTATACAGCGCTTATGGAATCTCAGATCCCGACGGCAAGTTTCTAGTCGGCGCCGGCGCGTCGTTCCAGTGTGTTGGATAGAGAATGGAAATGCTTAGTTAAGAGATAAAAGTGACACGATTTATATGGAGGTTGTGCCTCTACCTAATTCCTTCACTCAACGGTTTGGGTGTGTTCCCGGCGTCTAAGCTGGATTTTGATTATCGCTCCCTAGCTAGAATAAGATAAAAGGTAGTTAGGGTAACATACGAATATAGAAAAACTATCCTTAAGTATTTAAGGTGATACGGTAGTTGGGACTTAATAACGACACAAAATGCGCATAAAACAGCTACAATCGCTTGGAGAAATCCATGGCAGTAGTGTTGTGGACCTACGCGTCGTCTTTAACCTCTTGTTTTTAATTATACTTATACCTTCGATCAGTTCATTTCGAGGAAATTCGAGAAGACCAATGTAAAAAAAATAGCACTTGTTTTTGTTGTCGTGGGATTTTCTCAGAGCAAGTACGTATTTGGCCGTATGTACCGTCCTTGCTCATATAATGAACGCCACCTGGCTACTTCCTCACTTTGCATCCATGGTTATGGTTAGGTGAGTTGCATTATTTGTGTATAATGTATATTTTTATAATATATACTGCGGTCATATCATTGGAAGTAAATTTTTTTACATCGATTGCGGTGCGGCTTTTGTATGAATATGAATGATCATTTAATAAATACAATAAAGCCCATCATATTTAAATTACACCAATTAATTTCGTAGGTATGAAAGAGATTTAGATCGCGCGTGTGATATAAATATAAAATATATTTTTTTTAAATTACTATTTCCTAAATTGTCTTGATGATACGGTGATGTATATGTCCATACCTTGGTTATTGTTAAGTGTAAATAAAAAAATCCGCAACGAGCCATTTACGGATATTCCCCTTAAAAAACTGTTTTTTCTTAAAACCCATGAATTATTTATACTCGTAACTCGTAGTATACCTAATTTACGATACAAGTAGCGTTAAGAGGTTTTTACATGAGAAGGGAATGCGTTTGAATAATCCTACCGAATAATAACTTATGAGACACTAAACACACTCAAATTTTCAGATCTTGAAGATGGCGCAATTAGATAAAGTGGCAATGCTACTGTTATGGATTACAAATAGTTTTTGCTACAGTATTTCAGGTGAGAAAATTATACGTGTAATAGTTGCCACTATAATTTTATTGTTCCAAAAATTGACCTTGGGAAAGATTCTCTACCACCAAGGTCAAAAAGATACTATTTGTGCATTAATTAATAATAATTATGAACGAATATCATTTCTGTTCCAGAGAAATCAGCTTCAAACAATAAAACCAAAGAGTTTTTTGAGTATGTACTTTTGGATGAAAGTAAACACCCATGTACAAGAACTTGTACACCAAATGGCGCGCCTATGGTTTGCAGGTACCAGTTTAAGTTAGAGTGGTACCAGACGCTGAGCAAAGCGTGCTTCAATTGCCCTTACAGTGAGGAAGACTGCCGAAAACCACACTGCATACCTGGAGATGGAAATCGGCGTCCAGTTTTGGTCGTTAATCGACAGATGCCCGGACCGGCTATTGAGGTGAGTAAATAAGATTTATAAATTAACTCTTCTATTAAATATAAATCTTCATTATTATCATCACCAGAAATGAGTCACACAATGGGAATATGCTAGCGGAATCCCACAATAGTTTCTGAGGTAAACATTTCGCCAACCTTGAACTAAATTAACGGAGTTTGTAAGGTTAGATGGTGTAATTACTAATTATCTCAGGATAATGTCGTACTTTAATTCTGTTAAGACCCCAGACGTACATAATACATCAACCATTGTTATTTACATCTATACTGATTTTCCATTTCTTTGGATTTTACGATCTGTTGGTTCAAGGTTTACAAAATAACTATAAGTAGCTATCGCTAATCTAAAAATTAAACGATGCTATGGCTATCCTCAATTTAGAGCGAATAGGTAGGTATCCCTATTCGTACGCAAGATCTAATTGTTTCAGCTAATTATCGCAAATGTAGGTAACAAGTTGGTTAATGACTCTGCTATCGATAAAACACCTCGCATTTTATCGGTAATGACTTTGCCTGTTTACATAAAAATGAAAACCTCTGCCGGCATCCGTTTATAGTTGCGTCGGTTTGCAAAACTCATCAAAATGTTGAATAAAATGTAAGGGGGGAGGGGGGGCTAGGTTAACGTTTAAGGGTGGCATTTCAGAAGTGTACCTACCTATGCATCTTTTGTCTTAATTTAATCATTAAAGATATAAGATCTTTTCAATGGTCCATGTCAATGAAGAAAAAATAGATGCAATTATGCGGTCTCCTCAAACTACAGTTCATTCCGTCATTCTTTCGTGAGAGTCCTGTACAAAATCTTCTCAGGCTGCTAAAGTGAGTTTTCTATTTGTCTCTTTTCCAGGACGACGATTTACATCGACTCTCAAATGCGTTGCTGTATATTTACTGTATTATGCGGTGCTACTCTGAGGTCAGCATACTTATAGGTAATTTTTCCGTGACTTAGTGCCTGTAATACAGCCCTACTGCCAGTTTCTTCTACCTTTACTTTCAATAACTTCAATCAGAACTTCTCTAGCTTTGAGCTCCTTTGCTAGTCAACATTCCTTCAGACTGGCCCGTCCCGAGTCAAAAGAAGAAAGAAGGTGTAGTAAAGTGATGAAAAAGGAAGGAGTAGAGTGTTATTTGGTAAAACGAGGAAAGAGTCGAAGGAAAGATGGGGGAAATAAAAGAGTGGAAATTATTTTAGATGTAGACTTTTTTCAAATTTACTAGCATTTCTTAAACAATAAAAAAAGCTTTTGAGCATTTCATTTTATATTTGTGTATATCAATTCATTTCGTCAACCATTACATATAGGTAAGTTGGTAACGCTGAACTGCGCTAATCGCAGCAATGCCAAACTGCGGTTGTGCAACTGCGGTAACGGTGCCAAAGAGATCATTCAATCGAATATTCTATTGCTTATATCAATTCATTTCTCCAAGACATTAGTCAAAAAAGTATGTAAATGGTAAGTAAAAGGTAACTATTTTTGCTGAACTGCGCTAATCGCAGCAATGCCAAACTGCGGTTGTGCAACTGCGGTAACGGTGCCAAAGAGATCATTTTCAATCGAATATTCTGATTGTACGTTGAATTTTAGTGAAGTTCAACTACTCACTTGTTTGTTGTTTTTTTTCACTTTGATACTTTTGAAGCATTTGCGGCTTTTGCGGTTAGCACATGTGACTTTTCAAAGTCAAAAAAGTCCATGTAAATGAAAAACCAATATCACCACTTGATAAGAAATGAAAAATTATATTAAATAGATATGTCGGAGCACTATTTTTGTATTTTCCAAAAGTTGCACGAAAAGTAGCCGCTTTGGTGCGGCCGCTGGCGGCGGTCTGGTTGGTCCTACAGATTTGGTTGTTACATGTTAAGTGTAGAAAATTTTGTGGACTACAATTTTGTATAGAATAGTTTTTCTTTTAAAATGTATCGTTTTTGAGTTATAGGCGAAAATGTAGAAATGCCGCAAATAATTTGCGGTTATTTGCGGCTGCCGCAGTTAGCTCACCTCTGGCATGTTAGCAAAGTGAAAATTCGGATTCAGCGGTTCAAAATACATATAAAACCGTTGAGAAAAAATCTGGCACACCTCCCACCAAGGTATAGGCTACTTATTGTAAAACATTCCAACACTATATATTACCATTCCCCTAAAAGTAGTTCAAAAAAAGTGCGTCCGGACCAACGGGTAAAACGCAAACAATTACACATTTTTTATTTTTTAAAAAAATGCGCTAAAAATAAGAACATATAGTATAGATTATAGAACATACCGTTTTCTGTTGCCACATAGTAATGGAAATTTAAAAAAATCACAGCAAAGTTGATGCGAAGATTGCGGCACTCTATCAAAAGGCATAGGTACTGAAACGGAAAAAGTAAATAGGCCGAAATTTGTTAAAAGTGCGAGAATTTTTTATATCTGCCACCGGGAAAACCAACGAATTATGCCGCTTTTTTTGATACGGATATTCATTTTGGTGGTGTCTCGCTAACTTGACAAACTTTACTTTTGAATTGATGCTGATTGAGACTTCTGAAGTGTTTTGTAAGGGTACTACATAGGAATTGCGGTATTGTGCTTCCTCCTTATGTCGAGGCGTTTGTCCTGCCCTATCACATTTTTTAATGTTTTTATGCACATAGATAAGCAGTTTTGTGGTACAAAATGTTAAAAAAATCAAAAAGGAGTCACATTTTTACACCACACCTGAATTGCGACCAGAAGCCACCAAATTATTGGTGTAATTGTCTCAATATGTATGTAAAACACATAGGTGGCCGTATTACTCCTGGGTTTAGCTAAAATATGGGGCTACTATTTGATACCTTCCTAAACAAATTTCTTGAAGAATCTAGATAGAATGAAAAATGTTTTAAAAATAAAAAATTATTTCTATAAAAAAAATAAATAAACATTAGCTAATTACATAGTAGTTTATCTAATCCATGTCATTAGGAACGATGTAACAATGTGCCAGGATAATGCCAGGTAGTTTCTTTTGTTTTCCCTTGCAAGTAATGAGATATCACCTTAGGGGTTTTAAGTGCGCTTTTTTCTGAAAATCGCGGAACTTATTTTTTAAAATATATACCTTGATGGAAATAATATCTTTAAGTACCGCCGTAAGAAATACTGTCGGATTTCCAAATTGGTGCTGTAGGTTTTTCTACTCCCATTACAACGGCTGTTATTTACGAAAAACGATTTTCCTATTCATCGATTTTCCTAAAAAACTAACACCGATATTTCAACTTTTTTTAAGTACCGCCGTTCTTTTCATCATTGCAAAGAATATCCACTATACAGAATTTGTTAGACTTCAACTACAAAAGCAGCATTTCATAAGAACGTTTAGCTTTTTTTTCCCATATAGCGGATTGACTACAGAGGAGCCTTAAGAAATCTAGAATCATCCTGGGAGCAGGATCTCTGATCTTAGTGCTAAGTATAAATGCGGTAGATTTAGAAGGGCGGAGGGCCTCTAGGCTGAAAAACTTTTTGGGCAGAACGCGTATGCGCAGGTGTGGGAGCGGTATCTGCGCTAGCCACAGATAATTTTTTTCATTACGCACGGGTGTAGGTAATGGGCCCGCCTCCGACGTCCCTGTAGTCCGCGCTCATTGGACAAATACACGTCTAGTGCGCTAAAAACAGTTAATTTGCAACTTGGTACATAAATAGCTATTAGTCAACGTAGCATTTCGTGTGTTATTCATCTGTACTGTACAAATTTTTAGATTTTCTTAGCTTCTGTTTACACTACTGTTTTAGAGCGCCTTATTCCTTGTGCTTAGGTATTTGTAAAAAGGCATAGTTTTTTTGCAAATTGTTTTAATGTAACCCACTCTTGACAAAATTCAAAATATATTGCAGGTGTGCTTAGGCGATGAAATAGTAGTAGATGTCCAAAATGATTTGATTGGAGAAACTACCAGTCTTCACTTTCACGGTTATCACCAACGTGATACTCCGTATATGGATGGTGTACCGTTTGTCACTCAATGCCCAATTCAACCAGGAACAACCTTCAGATACAATTTCATGGCGACACAAGCAGGAACGCACTTTTGGCATTCACATACAGGTAAACTAATTCTCAAAACGATTAAATCTTTAACACTACAAATATTTGTTACACAGGTTTTCAGCGTGCTGATGGTGCTTTTGGCGCGTTTATTGTTAGAACTATTGAAGAGGACGATCCTCACTCCAGTTTGTACGACTACGATTTGTCTTCCCATACAATTTCCATATTGGATTGGGGACCAGGGATCGGAACCGCAAAATTCGTAGCGCATCATCATAGCAATGGTGATAACAAAGCCGACACCTTATTAGTAAACGGTTTGGGTCGATTTAAAACGTTCACTAATTCTACTAATCATACGATTTACACTCCTACAGCAAGGTTCACGGTAGAGAGGGTGAGTGATTATTATAAATTAGATAACCGCGTTACATGTTCAATCTATAGGGATATCGATACAGATTTAGGATAATAAACGCCGGATTTCTGAATTGTCCCATAGAGGTATCGGTGGATAATCACACACTAACTGTGATTGGTAGCGACGGCAGCAATTTTGCATCAATTAAAGGTACTTAAACCAATCTTAATCCGTTTCAAATTTTATAAACTGCATTTTTCAGCCGAATCTATAGTAACTTACGCAGGTGAGCGGTTTGATTTCATTATAAATGCTGACCAACCAGTGGATTTGTATTGGATTAGATTTAAGGGACTCATGGATTGCGATGAACGATTCAGAAGTGCTCATCAAGCTGCTGTTTTACAATACAAAGGAAGTTCAAAGTCTAGTTACCCGCAAGCACTATTGAGTTATGCGAAAGCACATAAAGAAGGCATGGTAGAGTAGCAATCAATTTTTCCAAATGGACTGTTAGTATTAATTTCCTTTACAGCAAATTAACGCATTAAATAAAGGGCCGGGGCAGAACAATTCCATGAACATTATGGAAATGCAATCACTCGACACTTGGGACAGTAGCCTCAAAGAAATACCAGATTATCAGTTTGTTGTTTCGTACGATTTTTATCGGATTAACAATCCTCGTTTTCATAAGACTGCGATGTACGGATATGCAGAAGGTATCTACAAAACACTATTAATGTTCCCATAGCAAACTACTTTATATATTTATATCTAGTAAATGATACCAAGCAACAGTTGTTAACGCCGCAACTAAACTACATATCGTTGAAACTGCCGCCCGTTCCACTACTTCCCGCAAGAGATCTACTAGATACTGACAAGTTTTGCAATCGATATAATATGGAACATTGCGAGACAAATTTTTGCGAATGCACACACGTGTTGGAGGTATAGCTACTAAACTAAACGCGTAAGGGAATATCGCTAATCATTCTTTTTCAACAGGTTCCGCTGAGATCTACTGTCGAATTAATTATAATCGATAAGGGATTTGTGTACGATGCAAACCATCCCTTTCATTTACATGGCCACACATTTCGTGTCGTCGCCATGGACAAGGTAGGGGCTAACGTAACCGAAGAACAAGTTGCTGCGTTGGACAAAAAAGGCCTAATAAAACGAAACTTGATCAATGCGATTAAAAAAGATACGGTCACAGTTCCTGATGGAGGTTATACTATTTTAAGGATCTTAGCTTCAAATCCCGGTTATTGGCTGTTTCACTGCCATATTGAGTTTCACATGGAGATTGGAATGGCGTTAGTGCTTAAGGTTGGAGAACATCATGAAATGGCACCGGTGCCGGAAAACTTTCCAAAGTGTGGTGATTTTGTGCCTAAAGATCGACACAGTAAAGAGAAGAGTAAACATTGCAATTGGTTGAATGAGTGCGATGACGATGAAAGTTATAGTTCTGCAGAAAATTTACACTCAAACAAATGGCTAGTATATATCGTTACTTTACAATGTGTAATGTGGCGCATTAGATTCTCGTAGCATTAGCATTCCTATTTATTTATTATTGACTATTTTATATTTTATTTATTGACACGATTCGTTACAGGGCATAATCATCTTTAACCCAAGTCGTATAGAGTAGTATCATGAACACATATTCAGGGCAACAAGACAAATTACACAGTACGGAAAATTCACAATAAGTACTAAATGTTGATGAAATAAATACTTATCAAGTACCTATTTGAAATATACATACATAGCGGCCCATATGTATGAAACGTATTTTTAGCGTTTTACGTACTATTTGGAAAAACATAAAAAGTTCAAAATATTATCCCCCCCCCCCAACATTCTCTTTGAATATAAATATTCCTCAAAAATTTTAAATTAAAAAATGGGTCGTGTGGCACCTTATTGGAGAGGGATACCGATTCTTTAATTTGGTCATTTAATACAAAATTAATTTTATTCAATGATTTGGTGCAATCATAAATGAGAACATTAATCTTGAAGTTATAATCTTTTGATGTCTCCATCAAAAAACACTATTCTACGGAATGAAGCAAAGAATATCACACTTATTATTTTGTCTTTTTTGAACATTCAAGTTTTGTAGTTTTATTAATTGTGATGGAGGTATTATAGATTTGTTCCTACATACATACTGTGATAGTTTGAAAACTACTTCTACTGCGCATGCACGGTTGGAAACTAGTTTCAAATGGTTGGTAATTTCGGTTTTGTTGAAACACTTTTAATTTTACGGTGATCAAGTAGACAAGAGTTATTACTATTCATAACCTCAAAATGAGTAATGAGGAGGAAATGGTTTTTGAGGGAAATACAACCAAAAATAAAAAGTATTTTTGTTGAATGTGTGTATAGTTTTCAGATTTTGAAGAAGTCTATATCACTAACACCACTTCTAACCAAACCAGGAGTCAACCCCAAAACACGCAACCTTCAGATGCAGCCTGGACGCATAACGCCACTTTAGTGGTGGCCATACTAGTAGTTTGCAAATAATTCTCAAATCGGTTTGACGATTTGTAAACTGTCAGCTTATCAGCTAACAGTTTGCATTCATGTATGAACAAGTTATTCCAACTAGTAGATGCATGGAAAAACTGTGTTGGAACGCAGCATTGTTGGAACGCAGCATTGTTGGAACGCAGCATAAGTATCTACTGCGCACAATCGTGACGGTTTTAAAACCGTTTAATGTTTTGTAGGAACAAACCTATCGTATAACTTTTACATTTTGTCAGTTATGATTGTACCAAATTTGAAAAGTGTATATTTCTGAACAGAAAATTAAAATCTGTTTCAAGCAGTCTGAGATGACCCCATTTTTAGTGAAAATTTTCGAGTAGGTTCTTATAATTTAGAGGAGGGTTAAAAGGGGGTAATACTATAAATTATCAAATTAAGAATAAAAATCGACCGTTGCAGCTTTTCTGTAGTATACATAATAATGACAAAAATGAATTCATTCCATACAAATAGACCGGTCTGTATAAACTCTGAACTGTATTTAGATATTACCTATTAATCGGGTGGTGATTTACGTGACGTACTAAGGGTTAATGCTGCTAAGTCTATAATGTTCAAGTACTTGCGCTCGTACAATTTTTCGAATGCTCGAATCTAACTAAATAAAACACAGGAAATAGACTTACGTTTTTGCGAAAAATCGGTATTGCCTTAAAATTTTAAAATATAAGCACATCGAGCGCGCTTGCGTTTACTATTGCAATTTAATGTTTATTATTATATATATTTAGTTTTGTTATGTTTCCACCACTATGGTATATACAAATCGTTAATGTTACACTGCACGTTTTCTTTTATTACGGGTTCAGCATATCATCATTCCTATAGTCTTTCATAACATTTATAGTGCCTTACCTTGCTCCTAGCAATTCGTATTTAAGTAATTATGTAATTAATTTTGTGATAGCTAGTCTTGCCAATTTGTGATAATTAAATAAAATTATATAAATATTTTAAGTAAGTACTCAATTAACATTTGTAATGTGTGAATAAACATTTTTAATAACGCCCTCTATTTTAATTTAATTTATTTTTTATTATATTGCGCCGACAGTAAACATCCTGCTTCATGAGTTGAAAAATACCAACTTTGGAACTATGCTATAGAAATTAGCGATTCGCCGACTGTGCTTGGCAGAGAAAGGCGATTAATGATTATCAACCTAAGGCAGAATCAGAAACCGGAGCTTCGTCCACTACAGGAACCAAATGGCCATCCAGGATCCAGCTGCAATCAAGTGCAAGAATGTGTCTCACCGTAGCAGCTGCCCAAAGATTAATGGTGTAATTATGTCACAGGACAGTCTTCGGCGATGCTTCCCAAAGTCTGCAAATTGCGCGGCGACATTGCCAGAAAGCCCTATTTGATTTTTGCTGCTGATTTTGTACTGCCGCACTCACTACCTCTGGTCCAACAAAGTTGTCGACCCTCACATTTGGAGATGAAAGCCCATAACTGAGCCCCTCCCCCCTCCCCGAGTACCTCCAGCCCCTAAACGCGGGTGCTGGCCTAGTGTCTTTTGGGGTGAATAGATGCTGGTCAAGAACTTTGGCCAGGTGTTTTTGTACGATTTCCGGCTGGTTAACCGTTTGATTTCCCAGGGGGTATTGGTATTTACGATTGCTACTTTAAGTAGCCTCTCGACAGTAAGTTCGATTGAACGGTGCTTAAGCCGTGCTGACACCCACCTTGGATTGGGGGTGCAGTCTACCCTTCTTTGTCGGCGGTTGAATCATCCGACCTCTGATTCTTCTTCTCGTCACCTACCCATTTGCCCGCCTGACGGGAGCGTGCTCTAGGCGCCATCCTCTGATCCTCTAGGCGTTGGGTCACGGGATTTGGTTGGTTTGGAGAAGTATGACCCAATTGGGCGAACCTGGTCTTCTTCTTTTTCTTCCATTCAACGCCGCGCTTACCTGTATTGGTATGTTGAGACTCGGTGACCTGCACAGATTTTGAGGAGTGTCCTGGGTTGGGACGCTACCTCTGAATTATTGTAAGTTCGCTTTTTTTCCCCTCTCTCAAAGGCAAAATGAATCTATTGGACGAGACATACCTATTGATTGGTGAAGTCAAACCAAGTACCTTGACAACGAAGTGTCGGAAAAGGGTACTCAGTGGAACGTCAGGACGAGACATATCTATTGGTGATGTCGAAGCTTTCAGTGAAAATATCTGCAGAATGAGTGTTGGAGGATTTTCAATGTAATGTACCTATGCCAGGCGGCCTTGAAATGTTTATGTGTAAAGAGCGTCTTCCCCATTACGGCATTACATCTACCATTAAATGAGTAAGTAATCATACTTATTCTATGCTACTACATTATAAGAACCCAACCATACACTGAGCGAAAAAAAAGGTTACAGGAACGTATAAATAATTAAAACAACATTTTGTGAGAGTTATATATGAGCAATGCACTGAGCGTGTTCAATCAACAACATTTAAATGCTAACTCTGGTAAGTTATTTCAATAAATCTAAAACATTGCTTTAAGGGTGATTAAGGAGTTAACAACCAAGAATCTTGTACATTGGAAGAATCGAGTTGCGGTGACTCATCTAACAGTCTACGAGATTGGGAACAGATTTTTAAGATGTCAATTGAACAATCTTGAAATGTTATGATAAGTACTTTGTTTCTTGAAAAATTACGTTTAAATGATTTGATGTAATGAAATTATCTTATTGATTCAACATTTCTTGTTATTTGTAAGTACATTTATACAGTGTTCAGGGAAATATTGTGCATGTTGCACATACTTACTAGCACTGTTGATTCTACATCCAAAAATTTGTTACAGCAATAGTTTAGTGGATTGAATTTAGTTCACCAGACTTCGACCTTTTTGCAACTTGATTACCATTCTTCTAAAACTTTCTGTGCAGCTTCATTTTCACTACTCTACCAAGTTTTTTTTATGCACGAAAATTCTTGCAAATGCGGCGTTTGATACTACGCGTTTACAAAAGAGTTAGGAGTATTGGACCAAGAATATGGCGCACAAAATTAGTCGGACATGAACCATCTGATTTTAAAGACATTTAGATTTGAAAAAAAAAACAGTTGGTAGTAAAAATGCCAATGGCCGCTAATACACTTTTACTACCAATTGTTAGCTTTTTGAAAATTGTTAAATAAGTATATGTTTAGTCAGATAATGCATTGTCTGTGGGCTATATTCTTGGTCCAATCAACTCTTTTGTGAGTGCGTGGTAACAAACACCGCGTTTACAAAAATTAAAAAAAAAAAACTTGGTAGACTAATTAAAATGAAACCGCACTGAGAGTTTCAGAAGAGTGGTAATTAAGTTGCAAACAGATCGAGGTCCCGCGGACTGCTTAAGTTTCGGACCAAATTCTGAAAATCAAAATATCTCAGAAAACGTTGATTTGCATCCTTTGTGACAAAGAAGGCAACTATAGCAGCAGTTTCACTGAAATGACGTCGGGATATATACCTGCAAACAACTTTTACATTTACATCAATTTTTTGGGGTATATCCATACCCAAATTTTTAATATACTGAGTCTGTAATGAAACTCATTAGTTTCTTGTCAATCGTTTTATTAAAAAAAAAATAAAATTCACATGGTATATAGAATTTAACTAAACTAAATAATTACATAATCTTTATGCTGTAATGCATATATTAAAGTGGGAAATTCACTGCTCAAACTATTTAATTCTTTACAAAATAAACTTTTACATTTCTTTACTTCAAATGCATTGTAATGTTCATCATACCTAACGGTGTCCACTTTCTTTAAGACAAAATAAACTTTATTCTCAGATCCTTTGAATTTAATTGATTCAATATGCCCAAAAAATTCTTCCATTTCAAACTGAACAAAAATATGTAGACACCCTTACAGCACACGCACTGCACTGAGAGATAAATGGTAATGAACCGTTCCAATTCAATGGAGACGCACTACTTAAATGACGGTATTCAGCAGAAATCCAAAACCGCATCGTCAATATGCTTTGCGTTTCATTTGATATGCAAAAACCGTTGAAATAAATACCACATTCTTAATTTAATGATAAAGTATATTCATAGAAAAGTCGTAGATTAGTATGGTAAACTTAAAATTTCTTGGGTCACTAGTTGTGCAGTATTCAATGAAGTACCTAAATGCGTAATGTCAACAAAATAAAACATTGTATAAATATGCACAAAATATCTATGTAACTCTTTTAAGACTGTTATGATTAGTATTAAACAGAGTTTTTTTAAACAGGACAAAAGATTAATTTAATAACCATTTTTCATTTACCTCTAATTGAACAAGTTTTTAACATTGAATCAAGGAACTCTCCTCAAGTAATAAAAGTTATTGATTAAACATCGGATTATTTATTGCGTGAACTCTTTGTCGTTTGATTGAAGTATTTCTTCTTAACAGTCATATAATGCTTGGTATAACAACCTGATTTTTCTCAGTGTACCAAGCTATTTCGGTTTAAAAAAATGCGCTCTATCTGCACAAGAGTTGTGCACAATTTATACTTGTTAAACTTGATTTCGGTATGTAAACGTCGAAATGACTCGATATTGAAGAAACAAATTTGATGCATTTTCCGTGCGCGTATCGATACGGAAACAGATTTACGTACAATTATCTAGTTTACATACTAAATAATAGTAGAATGAAAAGCATTATTCATAAATCGTTGACAATTACACTGCAGAACTTCAAATAAACTAAGTCAGCAAGATTTTTGCTGTATTTGTGGCAAAAATTATTCATTTCATTGGTGAGTATCTCTAATTACAGTAAGTAAAGAAAGAGTATATCTTACTCTTGTTTGGTATGATCTGAGACGACTAATTTTGGTGATACTCATTATCAATGCGGTAGTACTAAAAATGTATTCTACTGAAGAAGGTACTTCGATTATAGTGGCCTATAAGGTTAGAAACCTATAGTGCACTTCCGTTATGATTAATTTATTCTTTCCCCACTCCAGTACTCTCAAACAATAATGGAATTATTAATGTTTATTTATCAATGTTGTTTACCTACTGAAATTTCATATTATAGAAGCTTCCTTAGGTGATGTGATTATACAAAAATACATGTAAGAGAATTGTTTTCTTTATATCTGTTTAAGTCTTCATATACGATAGTATACTCGAAATGTAGACCTAAAATGATTAGGTACAATCAAATGTATACACCTATCTTACACTCCCTCTTGTCCGCACAAAGAGGTAGGTAAGATAAATAAAGTCCGTTTTAGATGTGCGTGCAGTAAAGGAAAGTGCATATAGCGGAAAATTTCAAAGAACCGCAACGCAATTTCCTTTTGAAAAGCGCGCAAACAGGAAAAGTAAACTCCATATCAATAAGGGTTTGAAAGGGTCTCCTAGACAATAGTTAAGAGCTTATAATGGTTTTATTCACAAGTTTAAACTGTAGATGGGGTACAAATTATTAAAATGCGTTCCATGAACTTAGGCAATTAAACCCAGTGTAATTATTAATTACCAGTTACCACATACAGGGTGTTTTTTGGGAGCTTTAGTTAAACGTTTCTGGGAAAGTAAAATAGGTAGCTTTTTGAAAATTTGTACTTAGGAGTTATTGTGAAGGCCGAATCGATATAAAATATTTTCAAAATAACCGCACTTCTGCAAACATCGGAAGTAGATAGTAACTTCGTTATTTTAAATAGCAACCCCTATTTTTTATTGGATTTTTGGATTCTACGTGAAATTTCAGTTCTTTTGATATCCACATGTCGATAAATGCCATTTATGGTTTTTAAGTTATTTTGACTTTAAGAAAATTAATGGCGGATGCAGATGGTACCTTGATAATTGATTACTTGAAAACGATTGTATAGCGATGGCAAGCTATTTTTATCAGTGCAGAGAGAATGAATAGGGCTTTCTTTTAGTGCACTTAAAAAAAGTTAAGTTGCGTACGACCGCCCCTATGGAGATCCAAATTTATGAAACTTCAAAGACTAAAAACTCAGTTTTTTTTATGGAATGAACATTTTCTTACTATTGCATGAGATAAAGAATCGAAATGGACATATTTTAATAATACATGTTCCTATAGCTATCTTTAACAGTTTCTGACTTATTCCCATTTTATTGAATTGACACTATTTTTTTCGGATTTTCTTTTTAGTAATCGGCCATGATTTTATAACAATCGAATTTTAAACAAATCTAGTGACATTATAATCCGTCACCTACTGTTATAGGTTACGTAAGTTTTTCAAAAATCGAAAAATGACTCGCAGTGGTTTCACCTATTTTGGGATTTAATTGTTATTTATGGACAGAATCGCGGCACGCGTGCTTGGCGTACATTCATTCGAACACTGGAACGAAATTGTATGAATTTTGGAAATTTTGTACCCCCAAATGCACTACAAACCGTTGAAGCACAAGTGATACAAAGCTCTACAAGAGAATATTTAAGAAAATGAATTGTAGAAAAAATTGTAGATTTTGTTCCACTTAATAAGGCACATTCATTAATTTTCATTCTTCTTTTATAATTTTCGAGTTATGACTCAAACTTCCATTTTTTTAAATGGCAATCATAGCTGGCTGTGACATTTTTAAAAAGTGCATTTTTTTTCCGTTTACGATATGATATAAAGCCGGGCTCAGACGACTCGTGTACTTGGCGAATACACAATTATTTGCGTACTTGGGAAGTATACGAGCTTGGCGAGTTGCGATGGCAAGCAGGGCACTCACACGACGTGTACATTGTACAAGTACGCGAGGGCGAATATTTGGGGCGAAAATTTGTAACACTTGTATCCTTTTCCAGGCATCATTAACTGCATTTCGATTGTCATGGTCTTTGTGTTTAGCCATCCAAATGACCGGCTCATTTTCATAAAAAACAAGAAATTCCAACACAATCTCATTTGTCCACTCCATTTCAATAAAAAAAGAAAAAAAAACAAAAAAAAACAAAAAAAAACGTCTGTACGCTTCCGTCTTTAACTAAAAACTAAATTAATAATCGCACTAAAGGCAAATTATTTGTGCATTCCGTTTGAGCGCCTCTACAAGTATAGATACGTATGTACTTGGCAAGTGTGCGAATAATCGTGATCCCTTTGACTCGGACCAATTTTACCGACAAGAAATGGAAAACTAACGAGTGACAATTAATTGTACAAGTAACCCACTCACACGACATGCCAAGTATACGAAAGTAACGATTATTCGCCAAGTACACGAGTCGTCTGAGCCCGGCTTAAGGTTCATTGTACTAACTTTGACAAATAAACATGATACAGAACTGTGTATTACAGAGTTTATGGGAAACATTTTTGTTCTCTTAATTACTCAGTCTATTATAATATTTAACTTAAAACTTTAGGGCCACAAATACAACGACAACGAAAAGAAATTACGAGTACGAAATATTACATTTAAATTTCTACTTTGAAGTAATTACATGTAAAAAATGTTCAAACTTGCAAACTCTAAACAGGCCTTTAGGGTATCTATTCAAGAATTAAGACATCACTGCCATTTGACAGACTTAACTAAATCGCAGGTTCTATAGTTACAAAACAAATGTTTTGCAGGTTTCTAATATGTTCCGTCTGACATTATTGCTGCTATGGACCGCAAAAACGTATACTTTCATGGTAACGGGTAAGTTCGATAAGAATAGAATAATTTTATTTTATAATAGACATTTTAATAGGTTTGAATGAGTAGGCTAAGCCGTTGTTTAACCGTAAGGATAGATAAAGTGATCACTTTAACCGTAAGGGTAGATAAAGTGAAACAGATTACTGTGAATTCTGATGCATTCTTATTTCAAATGCACGTTTAAATGACGTTCAGAACATATGTCAATTCTGTTTTTATGGAAACGATCGCGACGCGACGGCAGAACCTAAGCTTGCTATTTTTGACGTCTCTAAATTAAATTCAGAATTATCAGAAGCATATTACAATGATTTATATGGCTTCTGCCAAAGAGTATTATTAAGTATTCTTTGCTTCTGCTATAAAATAAAGTTTTGTATTATACACGACGATAAAGGGAAACTAACCAACCTTCCCGTCAAAGTTAATTCACTCAATGGTTAAAATATCCCTGTATCGTCTTGTACAATAAATAACTATTTATTTTGTACAATGCCATACCCACTCCCAATTTGTCAAAAAGAGTTATATATTTATAATAGCCGGTAAAAATCCCCTGGTCACCATGGTTTTTATCGCACGATTTCGACGGCGAGTTTTCTAATGAACGATCAGTGCGATGGGGCGTCGTATGAAACAAGTTTCTTATACTACCCATTTTTTCTATTGAGAAGTTTTGAAATTTTTATCAAAAAGACGTTAGTAACTTTTATTCTAAATAATTAAAATAGGGAATTTTGACATAGAAGTTGCATTAGTGTACTGTATTAAGTTAGCAGTATGGTGTCGTAAATATTTCTCAACAGTAATATCCCACTCTTTCCTTCTCTAAGGTATTAATATCCCAAGTGCATAAAAATATAGCCGATTAAATTTGGACGTTTTCGTCAAATGTTTTGCTTAGAAATGCGTCGAGTCAATTTGCCACGGAAAAAATAAAAGTTAAATAATTGAGTGAAAGTAGTAACTGATACGTTTTAGCAGATGGCAATATCTCGAAGGAGTTGTTTGCCGGGGAGCGTTTCAACAGGAACGCACATCCATGCTTCAGAACTTGCACAAAGGACGGAACACCAATGGTGTGCAGATACAAATTTAAATTAGAGTGGTACCAAACGTTAAGCAAAGCGTGTTTTAATTGTCCTTACAATCCTGAAGACTGTTTAAGAATTCACTGCATACCTGGAGATGGAAATAAGCGACCTGTGTTAGTGGTTAATCGACAAATGCCTGGACCCAGTATAGAGGTAGGTTGTAGGTATGACTTATCGAATGATCAAATAAAACAACTTGAAGTTCATTTGATAATGGTAATGTATACTACAAGATTATTTTTATTATACCTGAATCACAATCTCCGTTTTTCTACTCCTATGTCGTAAACATACCCAAAATGTCACCCTGTACTGCACGTCTAAATCGTTCATTATATCATACGGTTGCATAATGAAAATTAGAACTGTTACTTAATATATATATATTACGTAACAGGTTAAAGGTCAAACGCGAAATGTTAATTTAGTAGGTTGTCAGCCCTGCCTAATGAATGAAGTAACGTCAGATATTGTTGTTGTAGGTTATGTTTCACATTTTGTAAACTTCTTTGAACAGAATTACTCATAATTTGTTTAAACATTGCCATTTGTATGAGAATGGAGAATGGAGCCTGTACGTAATTTATTAGCCGTGCCCAATTATTTTTCATAATCGTAATGGGCTACTCAAGAATGGTTTGAAGCTGCGTTCAGTTAATTAAGCAAACTCTGTTGCTACTATTTTGTATTTTAGAAAACTACAATAAGTACTCGAAGAATTAATGGATGGTGCCAATTACGACTTGCATGGAACACGGAATAATGCACTTTAGAATACTGGGTAGTCCGATGCTTCCTTCCCGGGAAAACTCGTTAAAAGACGCAGCGTTTTGAAGGCCTTAGTATTATCGATAGTTAGGTACCTAATACATTGGCAACTACAATAGAAATCGTTCAAAACTGTAATGAAAAAGAGCACAAACACCACCTGAGCTAGTTAGGTAGTAATCTTCAACTTCAACACTTGTATCTTGTATCCTATTGGCTATTGCATCTATGGTGCTAAAATGAAACTCACATTGCAGTAAGGAATAGGGATGTAAAAACCCTGCAATACACTTCCAATCTAAGTAAAAAGTATTTATAAAATTCTTGCTCGCTGGCGTGCATTCATGGAATATAAGTGAGGTTACGTTGTATTTTGTATTCCTTTTAAATAGACCATGACATTTGACACTTGACAGTTCTAATTTTTAGTTCGAAGTTCGAATATTTAGAACCAAATCAATCGTAATCTATCAATCTTTTATCAATTATATTCAAGTCGTAGAAAAAGTATAGTACATAATTCGAGTGCTAATGCCTATTACGCACTCGATTTTATTACAACACTCGTGCGAAATAGGCTTCTTAGCACACTTATTATGCAATATACTATTTAAACACTCAAATGCGTGCGAAAAAGGGCCTTTAAAACACACGTGCTTTAAAGTTGCTAAGTAACGATACTTCAAGTATGACTTTTGAAACTGTCATCTGGATGAAATAAAAAATCCTCTTAGGTCGCTTTCTGTAAATGCAGAACATTTCTTTGGCTTTTGTACCTATCCTTTGGTTGAAGCTTTCACAAACGCGCGTAATTTAGGGTATGCTTCCAAATCTGTTCCACTTTTTAATCGCAGCATTGCTTTAAAGTTTTGAATGAATGCACCAAAATATAGAAGATTTAAATACCTTTGACATTTCCTTCATATATGCCAGCATTATGGATGCATTTAAGACTGTATTCGTAAGTAACTTCCTATTCATCCATGGAAACAACTTTTCATATTCTTTATAATAGGCTTTACTGGAGTTGGATTTTACACCTACCAACGTTTGTTTAGATTTTACAAAAACCGATTTAATGGACGGTGTATTATCTTTTTCAACAGAAATTGTTTAATTAACAAAGACGATGATTTTTATAAGCAAACGTCAAGTGACATTTCCATGGCAATCGTGAAATTACGAACACCCAGCCCACTTAATTAGACATGTATATTTGAGTATAACGTCAATATGACTTCATTGTATTTCCTATTTTTAAATTATACTGCAGGTATAATAAAAAATACTATAAGATACACGTGTATAATTGGTCTTTAAAGCACTTGCAACGTTAAAGGCACTCCGCTTTGCGTCGTGCCCTTAAACTCGTTGCGCGTGCTTTAAAGACTTGATTATACACTTGTATCTTAATATACTATTATTTGATTTCATCCCTTGTTGTGTGTAGTTGTGTTACGTATGTAAACAACATCTAAAATACAAAGACGAAGTACCTACTGAGGGGGCTGTGACGTCACGCCTTATATGCCGGCGTATACTGAGCTTGCGCTGTTGAGTACTGTTAGGCGTGACTCAATCACTAAAGTGATGTAAATTTTGTCCATTATGACGTAAATTTGAACATTGAGAAATTTTATGAATCAACCCACGAATCGCCTGATTTTAACGAACCGGACAGTAGTGAGGATCATTGTAAAGAAATTGAAGATATACCTATTCAGCACTATTTTCATTGAAGACACCGAAATAGAGGAATTAAAAGGCGAAATGTCTGATTCCTTCTTTAGCAGGTTATTGTAGTCACATGTCACATCGCTAAAATGCGTATAAGTATTGCAAAATATTCCTTGATGCACAATGAAGACCTTATTGTCGAAGATAACTTTATACCCTCATAAATAATTTAAATCGAGGTGGTTCATTATGCTCGATATCTACTAGTGCAAATAGTTGTAATTTCATATATTATATTTCAAAAGGTACGTATTAATGATTTGAAAATGAATTTTTAAATTGTTTTTCTTCAAAGATCATTTTTGTCCATCTTAATTTACAAATTTCTGGTTAAACATGATTAACATGAACATCTAATGTATTTTGAAAGCTGTAATACACACTCCGAAATAGTTATTTACATTATTAGTGCGGAAACAGTTATTATGCAGATGAGTGCGAAGTTTGGCGGCGCGAGTACGAGCGACGCATGTCGCGCGAATCAAGCAAATACTGTTCACAGTGTTCACGCATGTAACATGTATTCTATTTTTTGCACGGATTAGTTAAATCGAATTTATATAAATTCAAATCCTTTTCGCGAGATTTTTGCGACATTATAATTCTTTTGAAAAAAATCAAGTCCTCTTTGCCGATAAAGTAGAAATCTAGAAATTTCAAATGTCAATTTATTGTTCAAAACTTCTGGTTTAAGCTTATTTTTGCCCTTGTACTACAGGGAATGATGTAATAGTTATTTACCTAACAAGTTCGGTAAGTTAATTTTCCCGCATGAGCACTTTGTTTGCAGCACGACCGTAGGGAGTGCTGCATTTAGTGCGAATGCGGGAAAATTCTTTCCGAAAGAGTTAGGTACAATATTTTTTGTAACGAATTGCGTAAAAAAGGTCAAAATTAATAAAGTTTTGTAAATTAGCTTTTTTTAATCATGAGTTGGTAACACAATCATATGTTTGGTTGGTAACATAATTTTGTAACTACCCACTTTTAATAATGCACTGGTCACATTTAAAACTTCCACATCTTTGGTTATACATATTTTGCCTTTGCAATGAGTGCTACTACTGGTCACGGCATTGCATCGTTTGCACTGAATATCTTGAGTTGCGTAAATACACTCGTTACATTTAAAATCCTTGGAAGCTTTGTGTGTGTTAATATGTGCTTTCTTAAACTGCATATGCGAATAGTTGCAGAATATCACTGGTCACATTTTAAGACGTTTTAACAATAAATTTTACTTTTTCTTGAGTTCCAATTCTGAAAAATAATTTGATTGCGTTATAAGTTCTTGTTTATATATTTACGTAAAACTTAGTGTACGTCTGTTTCCGATTAATCGCACTAAATACCCTCAACCAACGGTTTAATTGATTTTACAGCAGATGACAGTTAACCATGACATGACGTTCGTTGACTTCAATAAGTACTACCAACCGAAGAACGCGCATAACCCCTTCTCTCCAGCGGAAACTAAAAAAACACCGCGATGCGGGAAAGTCGTTTTCCCGTGCATCGAGGATGCTTGGAAACATTATCTTTCCATTCAATGAGTACAAAAAATGTATTTATATTTTCTCAGTTTACTCTTCCATCATACTACTTATTAGTTTATGATCCGCACTAAATAGATAATTTCGTTGAATTTTTAGGCACTAGGGCGCGAAAGTAGATAGTCAGTTGTAAAATTGACGTTCCCGACGTTCGTGTTTTATTGCGAAAACGCGATTTAGAACGAAGGAGTGCAAAAAAACCATTGTTGATATTTTACTGAGTATAGTATTTCCAATAGGTACACTAATTAAAAATTACTTTGGCAAAAAAAATTAACGGTTAGGTGAGGGCTTTTTATATATTTTATATTCAAAGGTAAGGGTAATAAGGGAAAACTTAGTACTTTATAAAATGAATGTAGACTTCGCTACCTAATTTTGGGCTGTAGAAAAATAATGCATTACAGTACTCTCATAAACAGTTTTTTCTATTTCGGTGTTACAATGAGAATTTGGTACAACTGTTTTCGGCAAAAACAGAGTTACAAAGACTTTCATTGTAACATTGTCTTTGGTAACTTTTCATCTCTAAGTTGGCAGTTCGTCAACGTCAAATCATCAGTCAAATCAAATTGCGTAACATTTTTAATTTATGTGTATTCATTGATTTTTGGTACGCCAAGAACTTAATACATTCCAAATCTACAGTTTTCTTGCAATAGATGTAATAAATACTCAAGAAAAAATTGCACGTTATATTTTTGTTGCCAGATTCCGATTCACTGCTGGATTCGCAACTTGGTTTTTGTGCTTTTCTGCTACTAGACTACTTCAAACAGCCACGCTTTTCAATATCAAGTACCTTCACTAGCAGAAAGGTCTATTTACGCACAACTGTACCGTTTTAATTTACAAGAAATTCATATACTCAGCAACGGCCCTGCAGTTTCACATTTGCATTATCTCTCTACTTGCTAGTACAGCAAACCACCGATTAGCTAATATAACATAGAATGCACGGATTACATTATGGACATCTAGCTCAACTTTCACCGCTACCTCCCCGCTGAAAACGGGTTAACTGCATTATGAAATTCTTACTATAAAAAAATGTGTGTTCCTTAAAAGGCTCGTCACATTGAACGCGGTCTGCCGCACGGGCAACCGCTGGCGGTCCGCCGCGTTGAATTGTTTAATGCTTTTCTTATGAAACATGTCACATAGGACGCGGTAGACCGCTTGTCACCTCGCGATCCGTCGCGCGGGCAGATTTAGATCGCCTCGCCAACAGTTTCTGGCGGTCTGTCGCGCGCGGGCTCCAATCAGAAGCGAGATATCAGAGTGGTACACTCAGGCAGTGAAAGTGTTTAGTCTGTCTGCAAGCTACAATCGCCGAGCTGTCTTCGTTGTTGATTAATCTTGTTCACCCAGCAGCTCCTTCGCGGTTAACTATCACGGTAGCTGCGATCAACAATAATTCCTCGTCGGAGGAAGAATTTTGACATTCATTAATGCTACTAAGCAACGAACGAGACTATACTCATTAAATTTTGTTACGAATCGCGACGTGGACCGCATCCTGTGTGACATACCAGACTGCGCGGCTGATCGCAAGCGATTGCCCGCGGCGGGCAGACCGCGTTCAGTGTCGTGACCCCTTAATACTTACGTAATCAATGCTATGTTCGATAGATCGGTGTATTCCATTGTGAAATTAAGCAGTGTTATCTTGAAAGATTTGTAGATATTCCTGTCATGTGTAGATAAGTTAAAATAAAAGTAATATAACTGTGATTTATAGTGGGTAATTTTAGAGGTTATCTAGGGAAGGTATTATATAGCTACTTAACCTATAAGGCTTGCCGTCTTGCAGAGGGCGTACATAGACGTTATGAATTGATTTTAGAAATCAAACTACCCCTGTTCTGTGAATTAAACCCACAATAAACCAAAAGTTTGCACATCCATGCATTTGTTTCCAACCCAAGCAGCATTTTTAGTCGCCGTTACGTTTCGATGACTTTTGTTGGGAACATGAAAGTTGTGGTTACTACTGATAGGAACGTAATTACTACATTCCTATTACGTCCCTACGATCAAAATGGGGAACATTTTAATGGTAATAAATACGTAACGGGGACTACCTAGCGACTTACACCACTACCACGCGCTCACGTTCCGGCAACGTGGCGGGGATGTAGGAACGCGGTTACCGTTCTCTTGTTGGATTCATTAGTTTCTTTACATGGCGTCTTTGTCTAATGAATTAAAATGGCATTTTATGAGCATCTTCCATCATTCTTCAACTGTGACATCGAAAAATGACGTACCTACCATTATTATTATTATACGAATTATTAATATAACTATAAATATGGAATCAATAATCCGATTTTGTTCCTTACCAGACTCAAGAAACTAAAACGATTAAAAAATTTCTGTCAAATGTGATGATGATAGATCGAAAATTAACAACGCGCCCTCTCAAAATGCATATTTTAAGATTTTTTATTTAGAAAAAAAATGGCAAAACCTACTATGCAGTAGTTTTCTAGAGTAGCGGGGCAGTTAATTTTCCCATAAATATTACTACATAGATCCATAACTTTAGTGGAATTTTTAAAGTCGCAAAGGCGTAGAAGTTACTTTCACCGCGATTAAACTTTAAAGTGATAAACAAGTAGCGCAACGAAGTAATTGCGACCAATAAATATAACTTCAAAGTTAACGTGACTCAGTAATTTTGCCTTGTAACAATTCCGTTCCAGGTGCTTCAAAAACTACAGGTGCTGAAACCATGAGGTTCGAAATCGTAGTCATTATTACTATGCATTTACAAAAATTTTCTAAATAAAAGTAATAGCAACTAATAAGTCGCTTTTAAAGTGATAATTTCGTAATATCTACTTATTCAAAGTTCTCATCTCAGTTACCGCAACTTTGATGCTGCTTGGGAATGCCAAGTGTTGTGTTTTAGATGGATTCCACCTTGGTTGTGTTTATCCTTCTGTTTAATTGAAATAAATCCTGTTTATCATACGCTACGCTGGCAACTTCAAATTTGTCAACGTAAAAGGTGTTGCCAACTTACGACATATTAATTCTAAACTTCCCTGTAGTTTTTGATAATTACTTTCTAATTAAATTAAAGCACAAAAATAGAAAAAAATAATATAAAAAACACGTGTTACAATGCTTTATTGTAATACTTGTCTTTCAATATATATTATTATAATAAACTAAACAAATATAGAAAACGAGCTCTTGGGTAGGTATGGCTATAGCATGTGCAAAACCAAATTTTAAACCTGATGTTAGTTCTGATTTTATTTAAAGTGTATATGTATGAAATTTCATTTTATTGCTTCCATAAATAAGAAAGTTGGCACTGCACATGCTACACAAAACCAAATTTGGAAAATAGCGCTACATTTGCTTTTATTCCAAGTGGATATGTATCAAATTTTATTTAAATACCTTCATAAATAAAAAAGTTTGCAATTCGGTTTATAAATGCGAAAAGGGCACTGTGAATGTTAATCCATTAGGCTCAATTTTTGGAATTGCGTTTCATATGGCTAAAGCTATACGCATATTGAATTTCATGCAATTCGGTTCATAACTCACGGAAATGTCAAAAGGACCTTCCTTATTTTTTGGGCTACATTGCCAATTCCCGAACTCCGGTCTACAAATTTGATAAAGAATCCATTTACTAAATTTAATCGTAATCGGTCCATTCGTTATCGAGATATCGTGCTAAAGGACGGACAGACACCGCAAAATTATATACTCGCTAGGAGCTCGTTGATAATGACAAAAGCCTACTCTTCTTCGTCGGCCCTTAATATTATCTACTCGTTCTGATCCACATCCACTGCGGGTCTCCACATTCCTCCCTTTCTTTCCAATCTGAGTGGATTCACTACCTTCTGAGTCTCAGATGGCAAGAGGGACGTGCTACCTTCCGTGTTAGTCGAACCGTCCTCCATATCCTTTAAACGTTCCGATTTGTTGGATGTCTCCGGGCCCAAGGTAGGTGATACGGCGTCAGGCCGCTGAACCTGAAGAGCGGTATCTCCGATTTTCTTGACGTGGCTGACGTGTCGTCGAATAACACTTTCTGCTCCCTCCAGAACCAACTCAATTCTGGACCGTTGTTGAACTTTATAAGTGTCCTTGCTAAAAGTCGGAATCAGTTTTGGATTTTGTCTCTAATATTTGTGTCGTAGAGAGATTTACCTGTGGTATACTATATGCGGTGTCGTATTATACATCAGAGTAAATTCCTGCAGTTCAGCTTTGTAGTTTTTTCCAGCGGTATGGCTTATTTTCAGCCGTTTTAAGACTGATCGGTTTAAATTTTCAACTTCCCCATTGGCTTGCTACCAATAGGGTGGTGTGTGAATAATCTCAATATTGCTTATAATGGGACCGGTAGCTGTCAGTTCAAATCGGAAAGGTTTATATGGACTTGCGTCCGCTGATTCCAATGCTTCATTCTCGATTTTGTTTACTGATTAATTCGAATATACCGATTATTGATGTCTACAATTTGAACACTCTTTGGGAATAGAATTCTTTATTTTTGTGTTGTGCGAAAAACCATCTGAAGACGTGTCTTTTTGGTTGAAAAATTGACATTTTCACGCGCGAATAGATTGAAAAGTATAAGCTTTTAGAAAAAACTTTATATTGAACAAAAGTTGCTTAGAATTATCCCACATCTATTTGTGGACAATTTCACATTCACCCCCGAGAAGGGTTGGCATCTACCCCCAGAGTAAAAAAAACCTGACATTAGGATAACTTTGAAGTAGAGGATAAGTTACCTACCTAAATAGACATTTTGTTGTAAAATAATATTTGTCAAAATTATACGGTATCGCCGTGTTTCACCTTCAATGACTAGACTATGGACACCTATACCGACAAACGAATTTATAGGAATCCTATTTTCAGGTTTGTTTAGGTGATGAAATAATAGTAGACGTAGAAAACCGTCTAATGGGAGAAAGCACCAGCATCCATTGGCACGGTTATCACCAAAAAGCAAGTCCCTATATGGACGGTGTACCGTTTGTCACACAATGTCCAATTCAACCAGGTACAACGTTCAGATATCGTTTTACAGCTGAACAATCGGGCACACACTTTTGGCATTCTCACACAGGTAAGCAAATGGTTCGATAGTACGGGAAGTAATGAGTATAACAATTAGGAGTTCAAAGAGCTGACGGCGCATTTGGTGCGTTTATTGTGAGAACGCCCCCAGAAGATAATCCGCACCATGTGGAATACGACTACGATCTATCATCCCATGTGATGATTGTATTGGACTGGGAGCCACAAATTTTGATCGAAAAGTTTTTGTTGCATCATCACAGCAATGGCGATAACAAAGCTGACACTCTTTTGGTAAACGGCATGGGTCGGTTTAAAAACTTTAGCATATCAAACAGTACTGTATTTACCCCCACAGCAAGATTTGTAGTCAAAAAGGTATATATAATATCCAAGGTACAGTGCAACCGTTAATTTACACATTTTGATTAACGTAGGGGTATAGATATCGTTTCAGAGTAATAAATGCAGAGTTTATGAATTGCCCTATAGAATTATCTCTAGATAATCATACAATAACCATTATTAGTAGTGATGGAAATGATCTTGTTCCGATAACAGGTAAGTAAAATCACAAAGCATTAACGTATACTGTTTGGTAAAATGTAATGAATTTGTTGAAAATAATATTTCTAGCGGAATCGGTCGTCACTTACGCTGGTGAAAGATTCGATTTTGTACTAAATGCAGATCAACCAACTGGATTATATTGGATGAGGTTTAGAGGATTAATGGACTGCGACGAACGATTTACCAGCGCTCACCAAGCTGCAGTTCTACAGTATAAGGGGATGTCTAACAGTGACTACCCCAAGAATGAGTTACATTATCATAATACACATAAGAATGGTTTGGTAGGTATCTCTTTCTTTAAATAATTAACACTTTGCATCATGGTACTTCTTTAGGAAATCAATTCACTAAATACTGCGCCTGGAAAACGTAATTCGGTAAGCATCGTGGAATTACAATCGCTGGATGTCGATTGGGATCCCTGTTTGAAGGATGTGCCGGATTACAAATTCTTTATTTCTTACGATTTCTATAAAATTGATAATCCCCATTTCCACAAGTCGGGATTATACGGATATGCAGACGGTAATTTAATTTTTAGTTATAGCGACACGATGCATGTTCAAAATGTTTTCTACATTTTAAACCAATGATAACGTTTTGATCACAAGATTGCTCTATTGTAAACCGTGAATCATTGCCACAGTGCTTGATGTCCAACAACAGTTGCAAACACCTCAGCTTAACCATATATCTCTAAAGCTACCGTCTTTTCCATTACTACCTGGTAGAAATCAACTGGATACTTCTTTGTTTTGCAACAAATCGAATACGGTCCACTGCAATGAGAGCTATTGTGAATGCACACATGTCCTTCAGGTACGAAATATAAGAACCTATACCTACAATTGCGGAATAAAATACTCTCCATGGTAGGTTCCTTTAAATTCCGTGGTAGAACTTATTTTAATTGACAGAGGGTTTTCCTTCGACGCAAATCACCCTTTCCATTTACATGGACACACATTTAGAGTGATTGGAATGGGAAGGATAGGAAGGAATGTGACCGAAGAAGAGATAACAATTTTAGATGGAAGTGGGTTTTTAAAACGGAACATGACGCGCCCTCCCAAAAAGGATACGGTTACAGTGCCTGATGGCGGATACACAATTCTGAGGTTTTTGGCTTCTAATCCAGGATACTGGCTATTTCACTGTCATATCGAATTTCACATTGAAATAGGAATGGCCCTGGTTTTTAAAGTTGGAGAACATAGCGAAATGTTGCCGGCACCAAATCATTTTCCTGAATGTGGGGATTATATTCCCAATGAAAATGTGAAGTAAAGAAAACGTTTTCTGCTAAATTTGAGCGCTTATAGTGTTAGCAGCTAAATTGTACGTTGGAACACATAGCGTATAGGTAGTTCTAAGATAGTGTATATGTTACCTTCAAAACTGGATTTTAGTTAACACTAGTTTTAACCAGTGAAAACGCGAAATAACTTAAGGTTCTTAAAGAAATTAGTAATAACCCATTTTAATTTTACCTTTTAAGACGTGAATTCTCTTTTTAACTGACCGTTTCGGTCAAAACGATTTTATCTAAAGAGATCGTCATGAAAATACTAGTTTCACAATGTGAAAACTTTCTCCGTCTCTTTTATATTTATTAATTTAGTGATAATAATAATAATAGACCAACCTGCCCAACAGAACAGACATTCCAATTACAGGACAATACATATTTAATAGTTAACGCGCAATTATTTAGTGTAGGTAATAAGAAAAAAGAAAAAGAAAGAAACACAAGAAAAACTTAAAATCTTAACATAACTAAACAAAAATAAAATAATTAAATTCTCAAAAAAAAGAAATAGTGATGAACGTCTCTTTACAATTCTCCATTAATTATAAGTACTCGTACTTATATACAGCTAACAGCACACTACCTACTAAAACGCACAGTTATACTAAATTATTACCTACGTTAGGTCTTTGAATATAAAATTAGTTCAAAGGTTAGGTTTATTTGTCAACTTTGCCGACATTCGGCTTCTTAATCTTACTCTATTTTTCCGTTAAAACCGAGGTTAAAACTAGTTTTTGTAAATTGACTGTTGGGAGAAACCTCGGGAGAAACTATTTTAAACCGACCTGTTCAGTCAAAACTCAAAAGTCGAAATACAAAACAAAGTTTAACAAAATTCGTCTATTTACTGAACACTGCAGGTGCATCGCGTTTTTACTAGTAAAACTAACAGTTAATTCGCGTTTTAGCTAAGCTAGTTAAACTGTTAAAACGGGTGTTAGGTAAACAATATCGGTTGTTAACGGTAACATATGTTATATAGTACATAATACAATACATATGCTATAATGTCTAAAAGAAGCTTCGTATGCTTCGTATTGACGGTTGCTTGTATGTTACCATTGAATACCTAATGTTACTCAATATGTTATGTGACATATTTTTGTAGTTATAATCGATACCTTGCATACCTACTTATTATTGTTTTGTAATTGAGAAACACAAATAAAATTGGCGTCAGGTCTTAAAAGTGGTCACATTCTAAAAAGAAATAATTTCCTATAAAGCTTTTTTAGGATTATTATTTTTATAAATATATTTATGGCACAAACAATGCCTCATACTTAACACTTCATTGGGACATTTTTTTTAAACATTACTACACTATGCGTTTTAACCGGTCCCGTTTGACCGGACCGTTTTGAACGGATCTGCATCCAATGGATTTAAATGCGAGCGTTTACACTTATCCGGTTGCGTTCCGGTCGCCGCAGTGCTCGAAGTAAGTAAAACGTGTAACTTTTAATTTGGGTGTAATTTTTTGGAAGTTTTGGAGATTTTTAGAGGTGCGCATGGTGATAAATTAATAGCAGCAACTCAGCGAGTGTAAACATTTTAGTAAATAGAGAAGTTCAGAGTTTTTAATTAAAGTTGGCGATGGTCATTTGAATTCTATAACATGTTGATCATTTCATGGCTTTAGAAAATCGTCGGCATCGACCTATCAGAGGTAACAGATATTTCCTATCTTTAAATTAGTTTCGCATGTTCCAAACTTGGATGAAAAAATAACTGGATTGCTTGCAAGTCAAAATTTATGAAGGCAACATCAGCCAGCGCCATCACAAAGCAGTTGTGCGTTTTGTGAACGAAATAAGAAAAAATAAAAACATTAATCGGTAAAGATCTGAATTTTGGTACACATGTTTATTAGTGTTCCCCATTGGACATACTAAAAGTCCCCATCAAAATCTGTTGCTCTCGAGGCGCCATCTTCGAAAAACAGTTTCTTTCTATATATCGTCAATAATTACTGATACGGAAAAATAGTTTAGATGAAAAATATAGTTGATTAAATTGCCAATAAACATTTTTTTGTATGTCCAATACTTTAGCTATAATCCGACATCGAATAGAGAATAAAGTATCCTGAGCTTTACCTAATCACGCATGCTAAAATCACTTTATTTAATTGTTTCCATAGAGATTTAAAAATAATTAAAACAATCAGTGTCATTTTTAATGCAGTTTGCAGTTTATGCTTTGTACTTTTCAACTATACAGTCTTAATAACTCGGTACAAAAGCAGGTATCAGTGAAGAAGAGTACCTATGCGAGACGTTGTTATAATGTAGCCGAAGCTGCGACCGCCGTAGTGTAATATATTCGCTCCCCACAAAGTTAAGAAAGAGGTACGAAAAGGCGTATAAACCTTACTAAATTACTTCCACACATATGAAATTAATTGTTAGTAATTAAAAAACCATTATCCTTTGTGTAGGTATATTAGTATTTAAAAATATCCCCATAGTCTACATTATAATTATCCAATCGTTGATTGAATAACTTATTCAATGAACGATCTAATTGTTATTTTGCATGTACTAGGACTGTAATGGGAGTCAGGCAAAAGTATTACAGTACTCGTCAGGTAAAGATCAACTTTCTAATGTCAAAATAGCTCTGAAATTTAGATTTTCTTGACGGTTTCAGGAAATGATTATGAATGAATGACAAATCATTAAATTTATTGAAAATTCTGCTAGTACCTCTTATAATGCGAAAGTCTTTCCAATTAAAGTTGCATTCCACACGTACTAATTGTAGCCAACGGTGTAGCCTTGTCTGAAACCCAATTATGTGGTGGATTGGTTCATCGGGGTTCAGGCACGTTTAAAGGTTTCTCATAAAGCTCTCTCTCAATAGAACTTCTTCAATGTGAGCAGTGAGTGTGGACCTGGAGTCTTCAGGCTTCAGTGTCCGAACAGGGTCAAGGAAATCGTGGACTCTCCTTCAACTCCACAGTTCGGGAGATTTTTCATATCCACGCAATTTATGAACTTGCTGATTAACACGTAACGTGTGTTGCTGCGCCGCTGCAGCCGTAGGGAGTAGCAGTGGTAGATTCGGCTGACTAACAATTTTAAACATTTTCGCTTACCTTTCTGGAAAAAAAACATGTATCACATCCAGTGAAGGCATGTGCAAACAAAATGTACCTAATCCTGAGTCCCTTCATGTGATTGCAAGACTCGAGAAATATATTTTTCGCTGTGTTTCCCTTTCCTGATTCCTTGAAAAACATATTATTGTCCTGCGGTGCCAATGCAGTTAGTAGAACGAGGTGCTAACAATGACAACATTTGCAGCCAGAGATAATTCTATTCCGATTTTGACGATAAGAATATCAGAGCACCACCTTCAGCTTGTCTGAGCTCGAACCCTTAATTCAAAATCTCTGCGATACTTACCATTGATATCAATCGAGATTTGTTTTTATTGTTACCCAAAAGCTTGAATTGAGTTACTGTAGGGGCCATAGTAGCATCGAACATTATGTTAGTGCTAGAATGCTTTATCGCACGACGATACTGTTCATTTTTTGTGCTGTTGCAGCTATCGGTGTAGTCATAAAAAAAATGGCGTCCTTCTTACAAGTACGAAACAGTGCGTAACGCGTTCTGACGTATTCAACGTCAGATTACAGCTAATGTATTGGAGATACAAAAAAATGTAAATACAGTTTTTTATGGGGAATTGAGTTAACTATATTTTTCATCTGAACTATTTATTCGTATCAGTAATAGTTGCCGAGATATGAGCAAAAAACTGGAAAAGCGTACCGTTTTTCCAAGATGGCGGCTCGAGTTAGTTAGTCTGTTTCCTTTAGCAATTGGACTCGAAAAACTGTCAACCTAAAAATGCTCCACTTGCGGTGTCGCATTTTTATTAGTTGACAGTTTTTCTTGTCTAATTGCTAGACAACAGATTTTCATTACCTAAACAACCCAAATTTACTCGGTAAAATACAAACCTCTTGTGCAATTATAAGCGATAATATTCTACACATCAAATAAATCACCGTACCTAGCGTCAAAGTTGACAAAACGCAGTACTTATTTGGAATTGAATGACTGTGATTTGACAAGTCACAAGAAGTTCTAAATACAATGGTTCAGTTTGTTATCGCTGGTAAACCTGATTGTGATGCTTTTGTGCATGTTCTACACGTAGCTAGATATTTGCAGGAACACTTGCCGCGCTTCAAGGTACATGTTATTCAGAAACCAGGCGACACCTTTGAGGTATTAAATTATTAGGTACCTTGCTAAGTAGACGGCGGTATAGCTACAATGTTTCAGTCATGGTTGCGGAGCATAAATGAGAAAAACAAATGGAACCATCCCTGTTCTCCTATTATTTGGAAAGAACTTACAATAAGGGGCGGTATTCCGCATTACGTTGGTGGGGTGAGCGAATTTTGGGAATATTGCTACTGTTACTATGGATTGCTGTCACCTACACGAGGTGAAACATTGAAAAAATTGGTTGACGATAATATTCAGGTACCATTAGTATAATCCAGCAGTTCACTTATAGACGAATAACGTTTCTCCTGCAATGGTAGGTATTTATGTTGAAGGATCCCACATAAACTATCCCAAAATATTCATTATGCCGTATGTAACCTGTAACTATGACAAACCAAATTGGTTGGTGGAGGATCCCATCTCTCCGAAGCATTTTTTTCAATTAAAAGGTACAAAAAGGCCTACAAGGGTTTCAAAATGCGCTTTTCCTCTTTAAATTCTTATCAACAGCTTGGAACCAATGGCTTTATCTATGCTTTTGACTGACCCTTTCTAATTTTAAATAAAAGTCCACACATTTTTGCTAAACCAGTGTGTGAATTTTTAAACGAGATAATTTCTACAGCACCAACCGATACAAAAGTGACACTATGAGATTACGCTCATTGTCCGGATATCTCCAGAAGTTAGAATAACATTTACAATATGCGACCATTTTTACACGATTTTTCCGGGAAACTGTTTAAAACGCACATAATCTTTTTGTGCCTTCAATGTTCCGCACCTTCATGTTGATAACTTCTTCTATGATCGTTATTACATTTTCGTCGCTTGTCATCCTAAAGGCGCGGTTACACGGCGCGTGGTTCGTAGAACCTGGCTTAACGAACCACGAGTCGTCTGACATAGGTGGTTCGCTATTGGCTCGTGGTGCGCTCGCGGTGTGTGGTTCGTACGATCCGTTGGCGGTCGGTAAAAGTGCACACATCAAAGGAGTTCGGTTGGTTGGTTCGTGCAAGGTTCGTGTAGGTTTGCTATACTGCGAACCTGCTGCTGCCGACCAGTTAGTTTTCTTATTCAGTTATGTCCAGTCACTTGAAATAGGTTATAAGTTCACTAAAATGCCGTGGAGTACGAAAAAAACATTACAATTTGTTCTCTTGTTCTTTTATTTTTGAGTTTTTTCATTGTATTTTGCAAAATTGATCCCGCGTAAATAACGCAGAAGTTGGCAGAAGCAATAATTCTCTGTCTAGCATCCATGGTCGTTGTTGCAGTACTGATTTTGGTTCCGTATTAGAAGACGAACCGATTACGTCACAAATATGAACGAACCAAATACCGTTTTGACACACCTGGTTCGGAAAGACGCAAGCCAATGCGAACCACGCACCAGTTTCGTGGTTCGCCGAACCACGCGCCGTGTAACCGCGCCTTAAAATTGTTACTCCCTACCTACATTATTGTTTGCGAGAGATTTTAAACTTCAAAATGCACTACAATTCAGGTTCCAATTGAGTGTTTACATTTGCACAACCTTTCATTATGATTCTAATTTTTCTTATTCTTTATAAACTAACCATCCATGGGTTCTAATAAATAAGGAACAGAGATGGAGAGTAGGTATAATGACACTTCACAACATCTCTGTTCCTTATTTATATCTGCGGTCTTGATAAAATGTCCACTGATGACTGTTTCATCGCCGAAACGAAAATGCACACTGTTTATGTAGTCCTCAATATGTACCTACATACCTATATTGCGTATTATATCAGAAAAAAATCGTTTTAGTTTTACGTGCATGAAAAGCAGAAGAAAAAAGAGATAAAGAAACAAGTGAATAAGATCGGTATATTTGGAATTCAAAATGAAACTCTCCCATTATTGCTGTCTGAGTTAATAAAATTACCAGAACTACAAACAACTGGTGGCATTACAATCGTTTTGTATGACCATTTTGCTTCAGAAGACTTAATTAATGACGTTACAATGGACCTTCGTTGTGTAACTGAGGGGTACTGTAAAGACCTTCGAGTTGTTCATAAACTCGATCAGTTGATGGTCGACTGCCAACTTTTAATAATTTTAGGGGATTACACAAGGTAAGTAAGCCATTATACATATGTATAAATATAGCGTTATTGATCATTTAACAAGAATCAATCGAATCGCGAAATTTAAACTCAGACCCTAATTGTAATCAAAATATCAACATCCAAATTACTGATTCTGCTATATGTAGGAAAAATCTCTATGGATTCATAACGCCCAGCGGGTCTGAAATGGCGGTCGTATGTTATAAGCCAATTAATCTTTGGCTAAATCTGCTATAATGGATTCAGTATTTCTGGTTCGATTGTTAATTATCCCCACTAAATATAGCGTAAATTCATGTTTACAGCACGTCAGCTACCTATAACAAATAAAGTTTTAACAATATAGCAAACGAGATCCAGATGGTTAACTGAAAATGTAATCAGTTTTTCCTTAGATGATGATAATACTCAAAACAGAATTGAAAAATTCGAAACCGCTCGCGAGTTATCATATGTACACAGACGGGCGGGCTTTAAAAATGCTCGAATGGTATCGAAACTATAAACAGTTTGATACCCATCTACGTAATTTTAATTTGTGGTCAGTGGCGTACTTCTGCATGGTCAAGGGGGACATATTATATTTTTAACAGCAACCACCATTTTTAGCGCATTTTTTAAGAGTTAAAAAAATGTGCTATTGTTTGCGTTTTGTCCGTCCGGACCCACTTCTGCCGTTTAGAACTACTTCTAAGGGAATGGTCCTAGAGTCCTGGAATTTTTTTCAGTAGGTATAACCTGCATTTATCAGTTGAGGGTTTGGGTTATTAGCCGGACAGACAAATCCCACTACATCTTTTGACTGACATAGGAGACAGCATAATGGCCAATCCAAATGATGCACTCCAGTTCGTAAAGAAGCAGTAGCCAGCACGTTTACGTCTTTTTTTCTTTCGGCATTGTCTATTACTCCGCCAAATCTGCAAAAATTGAAGGGCATTGTACTTCGTTGTATGTTATTCAAACTGCAAAATACTCAAGGGAATGCACATTTCGAATCACACCGAAAACACAATATAGAATGTGCTCCCTTCTCTGAGACACAGAATCCCGACGGGATTCAACACTTACTGATGCGCTGTTGTCCCATATGGGTTTAACAAATAAACAATTTGAGATTGCGCATGTGCAAAACAATTTATTTTTTGAATTGAAATTTATTTTACCATATAGGAAATAAGCAACTCAATTCCTCATTCAATTCATCAGCCCATTTAAAGTAGGGATCAACCCAAGGATGCTATATAATACAGGATTGCTGGATCACTGAATTTTTTCGCCGCGTGTAGTGACGTCACTGACGGACCCAGACGCACCACATGCTTTGATTTTTCGATTTGTGCACCACTTTCATTTGTATTTTATATTATGTGAATTCTAAGAGCCCCTTCTCACGATGCGTTTTTGAAACGCTGCAGAGTGGAAATTTTCTTCGAAAAAAAGATACGGTTATGCGGAAATCCATTCCTACCGATGAGAAATTTAGCTTTGTTTCTCAGATGAGTAAGAACTGAAATTTATTACAAGTCTCGTCTGTAGGTACAATTTCTGTTATAATTTTGGAGTTTTCCACACCGTGCTACAATGGCCACATAATATGAAGGGTTTAGCCTAATACGGCTTCGCCTTCCTTCAAAGGTCGAACGACAACCCCCACATATCAGTAATACCAATTTTAAACATAACAAACGGCTTTATATACAAAATATCAGTACACAAATATGTACGCTCTTTACTAAGGTAAATGATACACAAGTAAATCAACTCTCCTCAAACCAGACATCATTTTTTAAAAAAACGACACCCCTTCTTGGTACGTGCGCTTTTGTTGCGTGAAGGCGCTTCTGAAAATCGGTTCGTACTACTTGTGGCGCTGCAAATCGCACCGTGTGAAGGGGTCACGCTACCAGCCGCTTCAAAAAAACGCCTGGTAAGAAGAGGTTCTAATGCGTCCAAATGGATGTTGTAGGTAAGTATTTAAAGCCTACAAATTCTCCTTCGGTTTTTCGCTTACTCAAAATGTCGTGAACCCATTTCATCCTGCGTTTTTGGTTTTTTTCCTCCTCAGCATCCATGGAAATTGCAGTTAAATCAGTTTATTTAAACTTTGTCCATCTTAAAATAACGATTTTGACACTGGCTAAAATGAGCGCCAGTTGAGTGTAAAATGTGAATACTACCCCAAATTGTTATTACAGTCCAATAGTGCACGTCGGCCTCAGAGCATTTTTTTTGCAATATAGATATAGCAAACACTGATACACACAGTTATAACGCTAAGGCAAAAACGTTGACAACTCAGCAAATTATAACTGTCAATTCTGACAGCCAGGTCCGTTCGGGACGTCACGTATGACTTAAACGCGGGCAACATTACAAGTATAGGAATCGAGCAATCCTTATTATATAGCATCCTTGGGATCAACCACAAGCTTTTTTGATTAATTTTCCTTTTATTTTATTTGAGGTTTGAGATACATTTCAGTTAAATAAGTATCTTAACAAATAAAAAACCGACTGCGCATGCGCAAAATTGTTTGATACGGCATTAGTTTTACTTTTATTCGAAGTGCCACATACAAAATTTCATTTAAATATCTTAAAAAATTTAAAAATTGGGATTGCGCAAATACAAAAGTTGTAGTACGCATGCGCAATATTTTGTTGCATCTGCATAGTTGCCTGACGTTTAAGGAATATTTATTAACATAGAAAACCCGACATTTATATGTTCTTTGTAAAAAGAGTTATAAAAGAAACGGTTTTTGGAGATTTGGGTAGTTTTTGGGCTGTAACTTTTTGGTCTACGTAGCCGAAAAACAATAGCGACATTTCTTATATCCTGAAGAATGCATATGTGTATCAATTTTCAAAGCGATCGGACGTTTCTACACAAAGTTATCGTGCACACAAACGGACAGATAGACAGAAATACAAAATTATAAACTATCTCGAGGATCGTTAATAAATTTAAAAGCAATGTAGACCTAGACACAGTGGCGGATTTACATATAGGCATACTAGGCACGTGCCTAGGGGCGGCAGCTTTAGAGGGCGGCATTTTTTGCATTATATTTATTTTAGGTAACATTTTAAGTTTTAAAATAAGTCCCCCAACAAGTTACAAATGACAAAAATCTTTAATTAAAATTATGAAATAAATTGTAATTGGTAGATAGTTTAAACAAACTGTAACTGTAAGAACGATAGTCGACAATGCAAATTTTGACGTGTGTGAAAACTTAATCTTAGGTATACTAGTCCGGGAAATAGAGACTGAAAATGGACCATTTCCTGCAAAACGAGAAGTGGTCCAATTTTTTTTTTGCATCTGATGGAAGAATATCGGGTGGTTAAGAATCCAAGTTTTCGACCTCCCACCCCTTGTGCTTCCCCCGTACCACCCTTAAAACCAAAGAAATTTGGTTGGTTTGTTAGTTTTTCAATCATATATTTGTATAACTTCACTTTACAAGAAAACATTATCAGAAAAGATATAGAGCTTCAGAGTTGCTTATATTTTTAAGAATTCTAAAATTTGTATGTAGATGTTTTAACCAAATTTATACTTTATCTCTATAATTATGAGTTTTATGAGAAAATATCTTGAACTTATCGTGGTATAAATCCCCCTACCCTGCACCCTTACCAAAGGGGATGCATCATAATTTAACTTCCAACCCTTGCTAGTGAGGATATTGGAATCACTGTGAGATTGTAGTGCATTCTAATATACGTGAAACAAAAAAATTATCTCACTTCAGTTCAAAACTAAGAAACCAACCAAATTTCAGGGGTTTTGGGGGTGCTACGGGGGAAGCACAAGGAGTGGGAGGTCGAAAACTTAGATTCTTAACCACCAGATGACTGTCTATGACATGCAAAAGAAATCGGAACTACTTCTCATTTTGCAAGTTAAAACCCTCTATTCCCTGGACTATACTGTATTTCTTTTCAGATTAGTTTTAAAAATTTCAAGTTATAATGTGATTTTTATTAGCATTTTAAAATTTATTGTAATTTATAAAGATTATTTTTGGAGGGGCGCATATCTTTCGGTGTGCCTACGGGCGCAAAAAATTTAAATCCGCCACTGCCTAGACATATCGACAAGAAAGCGCGTCAGATATATTTAGAGGTTATATCTAGCAAACCCCAAAAGCAGCTCCCATTCAAAAGGCTAATGATTTGAACATGACGCTCGTGGCGGCTTTTTGAAATGAGATACTTGAGCAAGGCATAGAGTAAACAACGTTTTACTCTATGAGCAAGGTTAGTATATTACGAGCGCGTCAGATTATTATACGACTGATTTAGCTCGATGTTCTTTCTACTCGCTGACACATAATCTGACGATTATTTAGACTTAGAAAGTTTTAATCGGCAGATTTTTGAAGTGTACATTTTTCAACATATAGACCGGGAGGCAGCGTACATAGTAACTAAACCATAAGCGACAAAAAATTCGACAATACAGGCTGAAAGTACGTTGAAAACTAATAATAAAATCACTCGTCTGTCAGTCGTAAGTGGCAGCATTAACTTTCTGCGCGCTGAAATCGTGACTTCTTTGGTGATTAACAAATTACCAAATATATGGGTCACGGAAAAGATTTGTTTCAAGAAATCCCATTTTTTCCATAGTTTTCAAATATGCTATGGCAGACGATTTCAAGTGCAGCGTTGGTAGCGAAAGACGCCCTCCAATGTAGGGAAAAACGCCCCTGAACTAAACCATGAGGACCGTATAAAAATTATACATAAAAAATTCCTCTTTTTGTCACTACTTTAAAATATATCCTGGCAGACGATATTAAGTGTAGCTTTAATAGTGGAAGACGTCTTAGAAGTTAAAAAAATTTAGGTATAGTAAATCCCAGCGAGTGCGAGCGTGTGAGAGATAAGCGCGCGAGAGCATAACCAACAGAGATAGCGATAGGATACTGACTACTGAGATCTTTCAAACCATTTGATTCTAAACTTCTGATTCACATAGTTCCATCCACTTCAATCAAACGGATTGTAGAAACTCAGACATTTTTCGGTGGCATTCGCCCAAATTGCGATGAACTAAACCATGAGGACCATACACAAGTCATACATCCGGTAAATGCGTGGGAACCCGGTAACGCGTTACCCTGCGCGTTACACACATCAACACCCAAATTCACGAACATCTCTCGAAGATTTATGAATTTCTGCGTGTTCTTGGAAAAGAGACTTACTTCCATCTATACCTTGATGGTAGCGTCAAGTTTACATTTCCCAAAGCAATAACAGCAATATCCATATCGGTAGCGCTAATAATTACTTCGCTACTTGTTGGTAGTTTACCAAGATGGTAAATTATTCGAGAATCTGCCTCTTAGTGGCTGCAGCACAATTCAGTTTTTACCACATCATCTTCCCTTGTCACAAATTTATAGCACTTATCTTCATATGTGGCAAACACAACTTTCCTTCCAAGTAAAGCGCAACAGGTCTTTTTTGCCTATGAACGGTATAAGTAATCTATAAGAGAGGCTTTGAGCTATCATTGCGAAGTGGTTTTATGAAATTTGCAGGCTGCTTCTGAGTGGAAACAGAAATTGAGTAGGATTGTAATCTTTCCTTATTTTGATCCCAACGATCATGTTCTGCGTCCTTCATGGAAGGGGTAACTATCTGTCAAAAGTAAGATGTACTTCTCTCGCTGACACAGCACAAATCTTTCCGAAGATGTGTTCAGAAAATCGCAATATATATGCAAAAAAAAATAATCCATCGATTAAAACAACTTCTACAACTGTCGTAGGAGCATACTTCCGAAAAAGTTTCAGCAAAACAAACTTGTCGATTTTAATCAGCGATCCATCAATGTTGCATACAGACAACGGAACTGGAGTCAGAGGATAGTTTAGAACGAGCTGAAGATCTATCTTCTTTTCTCTTCAAGTTTTCTGTTTCTCAGTCTGAGAAGAATTCAAGAAATACCGACAATCTTATCGCGAAATAAACAATTTATTATTTTCCCTAATTTAATTCGTTTGGTAACTCCAAGCGGTGCGTAAATCTATAGCTATCTCTGTTCGTTGTGCTCTCGCGCGCTTATCTCTCACACGCTCGCACTCGCTGGGATTTACTATACCTAAATTTTTTAACTTCTAAGACGTCTGCCACTATTAAAGCTACACTTAATATCGTCTGCCAGGATATATTTTAAAGTAGTGACAAAAAGAGGAATTTTTTATGTATAATTTTTATACGGTCCTCATGGTTTAGTTCAGGGGTGTTTTTCCCTACATTGGAGGGCGTCTTTCGCTACCAACGCTGCACTTGAAATCGTCTGCCATAGCATATTTGAAAACTATGGAAAAAATGGGATTTCTTGATACAAATCTTTTCCGTGACCCTTATAGTTTGGTAATTTAGTTGATCACCTAAAGAAGTCACCTATTCAGCGCCGCCCCAAGTTAATGCTGCCACTAACGACTGGCAGACGAGTGATTTTATTATTAGTTTTCAACGTACTTTCAGCCTGTATTGTCGAATTTTTTGTCGCTTATGGTTTAGTTACTATGTACGCTGCCTCCCGGTCTAATAGTACTTGAATCTGACGCCCTCAAAAGTGAGTATTTTTCATAAGGTTTTTATTTTTTACCTCGTTGGTTTCTAATGATCAATTTTTTTTAGTATTCTGATCGGCTGCCCTAAATCCACTGCAAATTAGTGGTTACAAAATAAATTTTGCACTACATTTTAGTGCATTTATTTTTTTAAATGATGTTAATTTAATATATTTACGTCATTGATTTGACCTGAAAAGTATTGCTTTCATTTTAGAAAAGAAGGGGAATCAGAAGTAGACTGGTACCTACGAAATTTATCCTGTATGTACATGTTATCTGATGCAGTAAATTCAATTATCAATAGAAATATCAAAATTATAGCAGCTTTGCATGGACCTGTTTGCTTTGATGTTAATGTGCTAGTTGAATGCTGCACAACAGTACGTATCGGTAATATTGTCGGTATTACCAGCGATGTTGGTTTAGGAGCAATAAAAAAGGCAGCAGATTTTACTGGTTTGAACTTGTCAAATATCGGCGGTCCACCTGTATGGGGTTATGTTGGTGTTAATCAATTTATTGATGTGAAAAGTGCGATTGTCTACAGTGACATGTACCGTCCATATCAGAGAGCTTTGAAAAACAAAGGCGGATCAACACTTCCATTAGGCACCGTTCATCCCGAACTACGATTTTTATCTTATCTGATAGAAGATGCCAACGAAATTAACATTGAGTCAATTGAATCACGAAGAACGGCTCAACAACTTTTAAATCGTCATTTAGTTTACTCAAAAGTGCGCGCTACAATTAGCGTAATTAAGATATGGTATGCGAAAGAGCCAACAGGTGATATCATTTCATTAGGCATTTGTTCTAATGGTATAGATCAATTCATATTTGATTACAATTATTTTTATTGCGGCTTTTTAGGCTCATTTGGAATACCCGCTGGTCTTGTTTTCTCTCAGCCATCAATACTGAAAAACAACGTGTGGGTACCGTACGAAGCATTTCCCACCATGGAAGAAACAAAACGAGAAATTTTAAAACTGATCGATTCATCTGAAGAAATACATCATTTAATGGATTGTGTTGCACCTACGAGTGCCGCTGCTTACTAAATATTTTAAATAAATGGGTTTAGTATTAGAATAACACATACACAAAATATAGAGTACTTGAATATAAAATTCAAAGCCTTATAAACGATATTTTAAAAAGTTACATTTTGCAAAACACGGTTTAAACGAGTGGCTAACGATTATGTGTGCGTTCTTGCCGTATATGCAATGTAAAATGCGCCGAGAAAAATCCTTATATTTTCATTATCATTAGGGCAAACGACAAACAAAACGCACCTTTGTAAAGATAATTAAAAACAGGAACTTTTTCAAAAATTCAATTTTTTCTTTTTTGGGCCATTTGGACATCGGTATCAACAGACGAATTTAGGGGGTTAATTAGTAGTCCAAACTCTACAGAAAAACATAATTAGATGCTTTTTACCTTTAAAAGCTTGACGGGGTGGATCTCTAAATCACTTTTGCGCGCGCAGGAACTCTACTATGGTGGGTGAAGATGGCATAAGTTTGCATATGTTACTCCTGTGTTGTCCTTTTAGTAATACCGTATGTTACTTATGTTATAAATTTTTGTTTGAGGACAAGCACAATTCCAGATATTTGGAAAAGAGCAAGGGTGGTTCCTTTAGTAAAACGCAACCCACCTAAGGATGATAATGATTTGCGACCAATTAGCATCCTTTCAGTGGTATCAAAAGTTTTGGAAAGAGCAGTATCAACACAAATCAATATGATCATCTACGTGATTATGACATTTTGCCTGCATCTCAGTCTGGTTTTAGAAGCGGATACAGTTGTGTGACGGCATTATTGAATATGACTGATAATATATTTGCTGCGAGAGATTCAGCAGGCGGTCGGTCATTGGGCAACTTGATTTTTCCAAGGCCTTTGATACTATCAATCACAGGATACTTGTAGCATTACTACATTATGTTGGTTTTGATTCGGAAGCATTCTTGCTTGCTTATTCGCAATCATTTGGAAAATAGAACGCAATTTGTTATGATTGCTGAGGAAAAATCTTCTTTGGCTCATATAATGGCTGGTGTACCGCAAGGATCTGTCCTTGATCCATTACTTTTTATATTATATACCTTTAATTTCCACAAAAGTTTAACTGAGACTAAAAGTCATCAATATGCGGATGACACACTGCTCCAGTATGAGTGCAGTAGCAATGATGTAATTCGTACAAATGAGATAATACTGACATGCAGTTTAATTACAACAGCTGAAAGCCATGATTTGCGAATCAATTCCGCTAAGTCGTCAATAATTCTGTTTGGACAATGGACAATCTAGAATGAGAGAGCAGATTAAGTCTCAATTGGAGGTTAAATGGTTAGGGTTAATACAACTGAATTAATCGTAAGACAGCGAAAAGTGTTTGGGTGTTGTCATAGACTGTGACTTACGATTTAAGAAACAGGTGTCGGAAATGATTAGAAAAGCTTATGTTAATTTAAAACGAATTTTATGTAATCGCTTCAGCCTGAGCAAAGAGTATTTCGTTGTATACTCTTTGGTCTGAGTCAACATGTCAGAACTACCTATAGTCCTACACTCTGTGAGGCATTGGTTCTATCCCCGGTGGTTCTATCGCATTTCAATTACTGTGGCGCTCTTTACGGTCCTTGTTTCGATTTGGCCGACGTAAATAGAATTAAAAAAATCCAAAACTCTTACTTAAGATTAATTTATGGTATAAGAAAATATGAACACTGACATACCACACAAGTTAACGGACTTAAATTTGTTGAATATGGGAAATCGGCGATATGTAAGCAGTGGCGGCGCGAGCTGTGCTCGCGCCGTTGGCAGCTACTCGAATAGGCGCCTATTGAGATTCTGGGATGAGAACTTTGCCTGTTGCCTCCCCAAACAATTGTTGGCCCTTACCCCCAAAAAACTCGTCTCGTAATGTAAAATTACTATGCAAATAATTTTTTGTTTTTTAATCATTTTTCTAATTTTTATGCAATTGTATCTGTTCATTTAGGCGCCTTTTCTGGCGCCTTTTTTGCGCAAATGGTTGGCAAGAGCCAACTTGCCACCAACTCGCGCCGCCACTGTATGTAAGATCACCGACAAAAATAATGATAAAATGTAGTTTACTGCCACTTAGGCAACCAACCATACACTATCTAAAATGCCAGCGTTGAAATGCTTGTAAGTTGTTGGTGTTGGACATTTATATATATGGTGTAGGATGGGCAAACTTAAGAGACACATTGATATCTTCAATCTTGTTTTTCTTTGCAATAAAAACTGGTTTTTAAGGTTAATTTTCTTTTTTTAAATAAATACTCTCTTAAGTTTAAACGATCCAGTTTTGTTGTACAGTGACAAAATAGGCTCACGTAAACGCAGTAAAAAAATAAAACTGAAAGACTTATTTAGTACTTGTGTTTTTTTATTAGGTATATTCAATAATAAAAAACCACCATGTTCTGTTTTTAAAAAAATTTGGTGGTGTTACCGCCAAACCGCAAGGTTGAAAAAATTGATAATTATTGCAACGGAATTTTTACTTTAAATTGAGGAAATAGAGCAAACAACTTCAGCGAACAATTTCATAACAAGTAAACATTGGTAAAGTGGAATTTATACGCCCTTGGCACTTTAAAATCACATTACGTCTTCAAGATCATGATTATGAACACAGTGGCTTATCTAATAAGTCATTGGAGTCTTTATAACATTCAGGGTTAGATTGTTAGATTGCGTTTTCAAAAAATGCTAGCAACAATTATCCAAGAGAAAACTAGTTGAGATACCATGGGTTAAGTCTCTTAAATTGTCCAGAATATAATGCCATAAAACTTCGGTTTTTCAATCTTTGTATTACTATACACCCTGCTGTTGTGTTTTATATACAAGATTCCGGGCAGTAACGAAGAAACGCCGAAACAAAGACGGACAATGCGCGACTCCGTCTCAGATAAAACTCCAGCACCTGTCCTGTTTCTTCGCTTGAGGGAAAGCCACCCACATTCTGTTTTACGCGCGACCAATAGGCGAGGGCGTTGCCCTTGTGTAATTTGAATTCTAAGATTCGTTGGTAAACATTTCAGGGTCTGTCAGGAAGCGTTTTTCACCTTTAATGAAATGCATTAAAGCAGGGAACGATAAAATTAAAACTGTCAGATATGTTGCATCACATCGTCTTCAGAAACTTCCAAAAAACGAGCAAAAAAATTACTTTACACTGTTGGGCCAATAACTCTTGCCAGCACGAGGGAAATTAAATTGCGTGTTGTAGGTTTCAGGGTTACTAACTTTACAAAGGCTCGTATCTTCAATCCTGATTCAGGGTATTTCATGTTTAGGGCCAATGTTTTTGGTTAGAGTTTATTTCATACGATCACGAAATCCCAGGAATAACTTACGCGAGGATCTCTACACAAATCAGTATGATTTGTCAACTAACCTTGTGATTTGTCGATCTAAGCCATAGAACAACAAACTTAGAATGGAAACTGTAATGTAATGTAAAAATGACGCGCCATCTCGTGTATGTTCTCAGCAGCTTTTTGCGTGAATGGCGCCAAATTTAAATATTAAAATGTAAGCTACGTCCGCATGATACTGAATTTCTCCGGATCTGTAACAATATTGGATTTGACTAGCTGAAACCTAAAAGGTAAATGAATCCAGCCAGTGAAATCCAATTTTGTTTGTTAGAGATCCAAATAAATTCAGTTTAATGCGGATGCACCTCACCAGCCAGGGCCTTCAAAGAGTACAGAGCACTTGTTTTATAAGTAACAACTCCAATTAATCCAATCAAGGAGTTATATTTAATTTAATATGATTATACAAGATACAAGATCAACTTCATGGAACTCTACTGTATGATGCCCTCGAGATCGTTCTAAAAACAAAATATGTAGCAATTTATTACAATTCAATTAGTGCTACCTGCTAAATATAATGTGCGAACTGCCACACGCTTCAAATCTCTTCGTGTTCCAGGTTCTAAAGCGCAGCCAGAAAAAGGACGTTCACAAACCAAAAAGTTTTGTGTAAATTTCTTCCACATTATATTCTAAACCAATTCTTAAAAACTTCGGGCTTCATTTTTGGGAAACGTCTTCACAATTTGTCACACAACATTTACGTTCTCGACTTGTATATGCATAATTCATTGTAATAATGAATAGTAATTATAC